AGGTCCGTCGTTAAGGCGCCGAGTACCTTTTCCGTACTATAATCTATCGTATATCTACCGCTAGTAAGAAGGTAGGCAAGCAGTTACTTAACTTGTCCTTTACGCTTAACGACTTTACGATATCCTACTAGAAGCGGCACTACGATGCAATTGTCTAGATCGATCTTAATATATAGATAACTAAGGATCTACTAAAAGAGAAGGGCTATCGCATTAATAGTACAGGTTTTATTGTTAAAGGTTAAGAGGCTCCTATCGTTAATGTCCTTAAACGTAAGGCTCTTCGCCTAGAAATAGAGGCCGATACGGCTGCTAGTCTCGCGCTCGCTACGGAGATATAGGCTTAAAACCGTCGCCCGACCCGTAACCGTAAGGTCCCTTAGGAAGTTAAGGACGAGCGCGCTAAGGCCGAAGCAGCGCGCAAGAAGGTATTATATACTCGCTAGGCCCTCCGCAAGGCTACTAAGAAGTACAGCGCCCCTTCTAGGGCTAACTATAGTACTAACTATAGTAACTCGGATATTAATATACTAGATATACTACTAGAAGATGTCTCCTTTAAAGGCTCCTTTAGCGAGCGTAGAGATAGAGGGCTCTCGCCGATCCTATTAACTAAGAACATCTATAGTTCTTACAAGGGCGACTCTATTACGTACCTTATTACTAAGATCGATATAGTTCCTAAAGCCGATATAGGCAAAGCTCCTACCGCCCTATCTATCTATTAACAGCTCGACGACCTTAGCAAGCTAGGAGAAGAGCCGTTCTCTATATATACTAACTATATTAAGAAGGCCGCTAAGGTCTATAGTCTCTATACTAGTACTAAGGCGATTGTCCTCGTCGGCCGCCTATTAAAGATTAGTCGCGAGGTTCCTAATTAAGACGCCTTCGCTACCCTTAAGGCTAATTAGGCCTATGCTAACTAGTTTCCTAGACGCCCTATTGCCGCCCCGACATCTCTAGGACTCTACGCGTTCAACCCTACTAGTACTATTACTCGCGCCCTTACGCTAACGGATCGCTAGAGCAAGTTCGTTACCGGCATCCTTAGCTAAGGCACTTCCTTCGACCGCTTTCGCTAGACTAGTAATACTATCTTCCCTTAAGTCTTTAGCTAGTTATAAGAGCCTCGTAGAGTATATCTTCCTTTCCTTATCGACCTAATATAGGAGGAGTTTAAAATATACCTTTAGTATATACGTACGATGCCTAAGTCTAAGCAGGAAGGCCGCAATGCCCTTTAAACTTATAGTATAAGCAACCAAATCGTCCGCTAGCACCCTGCCCTATAGCTCTTAGCTATCGCCCTTCGACCTAATTACGTATACGAGCTTATCTCTATCCCTAAGCCTACTAAGTTCTTTAAGGTTAGCGGTACTTATAAAAACTGTCCTTCTAAGGAGTCTGCTCGTCTTAGACAAGATATAGTTAAGCTCGTAGCTAGCGAGGGTACTAGTTACCTACGTATTAAGGTCTGTCTTATATCTAAGGATAAGACTAGCTGCTCTACTATTGTCGAAGGCATATATTAGCCCGAGGTCTTTGTAAACTAGGTTAAGAAGCTTAAGGCTCGTAGCCTAGTCCCGCTAAGCAAGATCGGCAAGCTTACTAACAAGCACCTTACCGACGACGACCTCGACTATATGTTCGATAGTTAGCCTAATAGTAAGGGGCGTAAGGCGGAGTAGATCCTTAACCCTTTAAAGGAGTACAAAGTCTCTATTTAGATACTATACCTGCTATATAGTAATCTAAAGACTAAAAGCAACTATATATTAATTAACCTAGGCTACTCTCGCGTTAACGACGGCACTAAGATTGAGGGTTACGACAACTTAACCGTCGCCGAGGTTGCTAAGGCGCACCGTAATCTAACCGCCCTTCTAGGTTCGAATACCTTCGTACTGTTCCCCTTCCCTACTACTATCTTAGTCGAAGGCCTTAGTTGCATCTCCGACGCCCTAGTTAGTAGGATTCCTTAGTTAAGTTACGTTATTTAGAACGAAGTTAAATAGATCCTCTAGCTTAATAACGAGGGACTTAAGGAATATCTACACGATTAGGAGAATGCTACGAAGGAAAAGGCTACTAACCTCCTCGTTAATCAAGCTTTCTACGAGGGATAGTACTTCGGTACTAACAGCTTTAACGTATACGGCGGAGATTTTAAGAACCGACTAGCAGATAAGGTTATTGCTAGTAAGGATTACGGCGCGTTAAAGCAACAGTAGGTCTGTATAGTGTTGCTTAGGAAGTTATTTTTATATAATTATAGTATCTAGGATTAATGCTACCCCGGGGGTATTATTGCGGAGTTCTAAAAATAGCCTTAGCTAAGAACGCTAAGGATGCATATATGTTTGTTTTAAGCGCGCAATGTAAAGCGTGTCTAGTTAGATACGAAGAAAGGGAGGGATATTAGCTAGTAACCGGCCCTACACCTATAGGCTAGTTTTAAGCCTATATAAGAGGCCTCCTTCTATATTGTAGATAGAGCATTAACCTCGTACAGCACATTGTTTATGTTACACTTCTATAATGCCTATATTGTAGGGCTCTAGTTATTAGCCTAAGCGACAGTCTCGCTATCCTATCTTGCTAAATATAGCTGCCTATATTGCTATAGGTTATATTACCCTCGGTAGCCTATACTATTGCTACAAGTAGTAGTAGTAGTGTTAGTTTCCGTCCTTTACTATTCTAGAGCCGGATTCCTAACGATACTACCTTTATAAAAGACCTTGTAGCCCTCTAATATAAATAGGGGCGAGAGGACTATATCGACGTCTCTTCCCTATAGTTCCTTTCTAAATTTTTAGGGGCCTAGGAGTTAGTAGAAGGCGAATTAGTAACCTACGAGAGCTAGGAGACTATCGATAATACTAACGAAGAGGGGATTAAGGAGATAGGCCGAGGGGATAATAATGCCGACCCTGCTTCGGTTTTAGTTTCTATTAAGGCTATCCGATTTACTAGCTAACAAATCGGTCGAGTAGGACCTCCTCGACCTAAGGAACTTTACTCTATCCCTAATAATATAGACCTTTCCGCAGTTACCCGTTCCTTTGCCGTCGTTCCCGCTATCTATATTTAAGTTACTATCGGAAGCTATAGTTAGTAGTTGCTAGCAATACTTAATAATAGTTTAGAGTTACTTATTATAAGTAAGCGCTAGGCTAAACAGCTCCGACTGCTAATAAATAGAGATATTTCCCTTAGTATATAGGGAGTAAATAGGGAGGTTACGCTAGTAGGTGCCTACTATAATATTATAGTAGACGCTTTCGGTATATGCTTTTCCTTTACCTTCTAGATTGCCGCTAACCCGGATACGCTAATTATTCTAGGTCGTCTATAGTCTCGTATAACCTAGAGTGTCTAGCGCAACTGCGACGATAGCTCCTAAGAAGGAACTATCGCTAACTAGAAGGGCAACCGAGTCGTATTTACTAGTTATATCGGAAACACTAGCTATAAATCCTACGAGGATATCCTTACTGCTTCTAAACGCTCTTCGGGAAACGTTATAGCGCGGTTATAAGACCGGCAATCTGCGCTATAAGTTAATATAGCTTAAATAGGTTATATCTAGAAGTACGCCGCTCCGTACGACAAGGCTAGTTCCTAGGCTCTATACTAAGGAGACGAATGCTCGAAGCGATAGCGAGTATAATAGTATAACGACTACCTAGTATACGAATCTCGGTAATAATGCTATCGTAGGCATCGCCGCCGGAAGCGGATCTACCCGAGCCCGAATCCGAACTAACTAATTAGAGCGCCGAGCTAATGCTACCCCGGGGATGTTATTAGGAATCTAACGTTTTCGCCGGAATTATAAATTAGGATTACTAGCTATATACCTACCGACTTAAAGAGACTTCTAATAAAGTTTACGCGCTGTTCTATTACGCTAATCTCCGGGCCTAACGTTAAAGAGAGAGGGCTCGGGTATTACGAGCGGTTAGTATATATACCCTATATAAGAGGGTAGCTAACAAGATTAAGCCCGTAAAGGGCAGCGTATATATAACCGATAGGTCTACTCCTAGCGGAAATCCTAACTAGCGACAAAAGTGCCTTAACCGCGAAGCGATATTAATACCTAGGGATAGTCTATACGACTAGAGGTATATTACTAAAAAGTTCTCCGCTATTCCTAGGGGATCGAGGCTAACGCCGGAGAGACTAGCGAATATTAAACCTAGCATCGAACTTTCGGATCTTAAACTAGATTTGCTATACGAGCTTCTATATAACCGCGAAGCCGTATTAGTATATAACTTTACGTATCTAGGTAGGATTAACCCGGAGGTTGCCCCTCTATAGAGGATCCGAACAATCAAGTATAAGCCTTAGGCTTACCTAGGGTTTAAGCTAAACCTAAGCCTAAGAGGTATAGTTAAGGATATAATACGGCAGTATATAAAGGCTAGTACCTTAGAGCCTTCCTATGCCTCGTATCGCAACCTAATCCTATACTTCCTAGTTTAGAAGAAGACAGCTCCTAGGGAACTAAAGAAGTACCGTCTAATTAACGCTATATAAAAGTTTAACGCAGTTACGATTAGAGATGCTAACCTCCCTCCGGAGACTAATAGGTTCTCGGAGGCTTTTACTAACTATATTATAGCCTTACTAGTTAATGTTTTCTCGGGCTACGACTAGATCCCTCTCTATCCTAATAGCCGGGACCTTACTAGTTTCGAAACGCCTCTTAGACTATACCGACAAACTACCCTTCCCTAAGGGGCAACTAACTCCGTAGCCTAGTTCGTTCGTATTATAAACTAAGTCCTCGCGGCCTATATCTCCTATATAGCGATGCCTTTCCTCGACGACATCGGCATTAAGGGCCCTAAAACTAGGTACGACAATAAAGAAGTAGAGCCTAGTATCCGTAGGTTCTTTCTCGAATATATTTAGAACCTCGATAGTATCCTCTACGACCTAGAGCGAGCTAACCTAACGGTATATAGGGAGAAGCTTTAGCTCCTATGCAAACGAATAAATATTGTCGGGTTTATAACTAATAAGAACGGCCGCTATCCTAACAATACACGGGTCCTAAAGATTGTATCCTAGCCCGACCCTACCTATTAGAAAGATGTCCGGATCTAGCTTAGAGTAGTCTCCTACTTCCGTATCTAGATCGAAAACTTTACGTTAGTATACAAGCCTCTATACGCCTTGCTTAAGAAGGATATAGAGTTTAAATAGACCTCCGTTTACTAAGCCGCTAAGGATAAGGTTACTAAGGTACTTATTAGCGCGCCTACGCTTACCTCTATTAACTACTCGGAAGGCGTAGGTCTGCTAATTGTTGCTATCGACTCGAGCGGGGAAGGCTACGGCGAGATACTAATATAGTATAATCGTAAGGAGCCCTCCTTACGTTACCCTATCTAGTACGAGTCCGGTCTATAGAAACTAATCGAGGCCCGATACGATACTAGCAAGCGAGAGTGCCTTAGTATCTACAAGGCTCTTAAGAAGTTCCGACCTTAGCTCTTTAGAGTGTTCTTTCGCCTAGAAGTCGACGCTTAGACGCTAGTCTATTAACTTAACCGTATAGCCTCCGACCTGCCTAACTCTACGATAGCTCGGTAGGTTGCCTAGATCTATTTGTTTAATTTCGACGTCTTCTATGTTCCTAGCAAGAAGCACACTAGACCGGATAGCCTTTCTAGAAGGCCTGCTATAGAAGAAGACATCGCCGAGATAATAGAAGAAGAGGATGTCGACGCGGTTATTAACCGCACCTTCTTTACTACCTTCTATATTAACGCTATACTAGTAATTACTAGGCCTACTGCCGACGACTAACCTAGTAACTAGCCTAACGAAGACCCTACTACTAACGGCGAGGACTAGGACGATACTAAGGCGGGCGAACTAGGTAGGGATAATATCCTTAATAGGGTCTACTCTAACGACTCCTATAATATCGCCTACTTCCTTACCTATACGAAGAGAGCTCCTAGTCTATTAAAGAGTTAATACCGTCGTATTATTCGCTATTCTCGGAGGTTCCTTATTAAGGATCGCATCCTTTAGCGATAGGCTATAGTTAATACACCGCTCTAGCGTATTATTAACGATCTAGTAGCCCGATAAGAAATCCTTCGTTCCGTTTACGATAAGCTCGGCTACCGGGCGGCGGAGGGCACCTTCGATGTCCTTCGTCGACGCTACTAGTAGGATAGCGTATAGGCTAACGTCTCCCGCTACTATAAGAGCTGTCCTAAGTACAACTTTAGGAACAGCTACCGACGTCTAGGAGAGCTGCGTATCCCTACTACCTAGTTAGTCGGGGAGCGGTAGTATAGCGATAGGGTCTATCTTAGCCGCAATAATAGCCTATATATTATTCGAGAGGGTCTTTCTCGATAGCCGGAGGCCTATTATTTCTACAAGGGTTGCGGTGCTATTAATGCCCGTAATATAGCTACCTTCCTATTTAAGGATCTATTTTACCGCTAGGGAACACCTTACGAGGTTATCTTAGACAACGCTACGAACAATATAGCTAAGAAGGTTTAAGCGCTACTTGTTTCGTATAGGGCGAAGAACGTTCGTATCTCCCTATACTATCCCTAGTCGAATGCTATTATTAAGCGCGGCTATCGGTCGTTAATTAACGCCCTATCTAAGATAACTAATAGTAGCGATAGATTAGTTCCTATTTCTACCCGCGTCCTAGCCCTTCTCTAGGCAGACCGAACTACTATTATCGACACGACCGGACTTACGCTAGCGGAACTTATAATTAGGAGGGACGCCGTTCTTCCTATTGAATTGTCCTATCGCACGCACGGCGTTTACGATTAGGGGTCTGTTCGTACTAGGGCAGATCTTCTTACCCTATAGGCTAAGGCTCTTAAGGATATAACTACGACTTCTTAAGAGGGTCTTACTCGACAACGTCGGCTTCGGGAAGAGGCTAAGCAGTATTTTAATAACTATAATACTATTAATTAGGAACCTCTAAAGGTTAGCGATATAGTCCTTCTATACCGGTCCGAGCTAGAGTATAGTTACTCCTATAAGCTAGCCTTTAAGTAGAAGGGTCCTTATAGAGTAAAGGAGGTCCTTTACTCGGGTTCCGTATACCTTCTTTAGGAGCTAGATAGTGCTACCTTAAAGTACACTCACCCTCGGGCTAATCTAAAGAAGATCGTTAAGTTACGCGAACCTGCCCGCTCTCCGCCGACCGAGGAGGAAGTTAGTGCCTCTATAGACCCTCTACCGTCCTTAGATACCTATCGGAAGGAGGATCCTACCGCTATTATAGATCCTGTTCTACCTAAGAACTATACCTATCCCTAGATTCGTCTTAGTAAGCTATTAGGAATAACTTAAGAACAAAGGGAGGGTTATATACGGATTAACTATATATAGAGCGTTTCCGATATTAATTCCGATTCTAATAGTGAACTAGACTTCTAGCTATCTAACTCTAACTCCGAGGAACCTAACTAGTCTAGCGATAAAGACCGCCTAGAATTATAGCTAGACGACCCCGAGACTAAATAATCGCATGTCCTTTCCTGCCTCTGCTACGTTGCTTTCCTTGCCTCTATTAACTATTCTCCGCGCTATTAATATAGAGCGCTACCTTTTAGCTTTAGTCCTTACTGCCTATTCCTAGTTCCTACGGATGTTAATGCTCTTAGTTGTTGCCCTCCTTTGCTTTTACCTTGTCTATTGTTTTGCTCTTTTGTCTTTTGCCTTCGATTAATATTACTATAGCTTTACTCTTTTTGTGTTTCCTTAGAAAGAACTGTACGAGGTATAACTTCCGAATAATACCCCGGGGGTAGCATTCGGAAGCTAGCCGAACCTAACCTCCCGCCCTTCTAGGACTACTTCCCTCTAGTTTCCTAGTCTCTAGCAACCGCCCTTAGGTAGCAACGATAATAAGATACTCCGCTAGAGAAGATTGTTCCTACTCTAATTAGTATTAGTTACGTAGGACACTAAGAAAGGGAGGATCCCTCTCCCTTCCTAGCTCTTAGATAGACGTAGCAACCCTCTAAGAATAGGGACCTTAGGCCGCTAAGCTTAGTATCTAGAAGAAAGAAGAACGCACGGGCTACGTTTATATACCTACTACTGTAAAAGGTAATGCTATATCTATAACGATAGTGCTATAGGCTAATATAAGCTGCGCTAGGCCTAGGCGATTTGCTCCTAGTTGCCGAGCATCTCTAGAGAAAAGCTAATGCTATCCCGAGGGTGTTATTAGTCCCGCTAGCCTTACTACTATAAATTACTACTAGGTACTCGAACTAACTAGTTACATTTCGAGTGCGCGAGAATCTACGAAAGCTAGAGGTTAATAAAGGCGCGTAGTCGTTACTAGCAATTAGCTAGATCGATTGTTAAACTTTAGCCTGCCCTACTAATAAAGGAGTCTCGTATATAGCTTTACTTTTTAGGGTCTATATGTAATCGTTATCCGTTTGCTTTACCGGAACATACGGACTACGCTACCTTCGTACCCTATTTAAGGCGAGCCTTCTAAGCTCTTTCTTCTACTCGAACACTAACTAACTTACTACTGCCTACCCCCCCCCCCCCCCCCCTCTTCTATCTAAACCCTTTAATTATTATTAATAAGCTACGAACGTTTTTACAAGCTCGTTACTAACTCCTTTCCGCTCCGGTTAACTAAGATGTCTTCCGGCGCCCTAAATCCGCTAGGTGCTAGTAGTAGTAGCAACCTACTAGCCTTAAACCTAGGCGTACTAGTCCCGATCGAAGCCCTATCCGATAGCGCCTTAGCTACTACAACTAGCCTCGAGCACTGCTTCTAGATCGTTACCGCCCTTAAAGACCCTTAAGAGAAGATCTAGAACGCTCGTACCCTGCTACGCGTTATTAATAGGAATATTAAGAAGGCTGCTATCTTAGTTGCGTACAGTATAAACAACTTGCGTTAGTCTATTAGTAAGCGTATCTTTAAGCGCGAGGTTTTTAACGATATAGATATCGAACAAGCCTTTCCTATCGTCTATAGCCTCGAGACGGCCGGTACCTAGATTCGTTTGCGCTTTAAGACCCTCGACTAGGCCTTCGAATATTAGGGAGGACTAAGCAGTCTTTCTAAGAGCCTTGTTAACTTCGCCTACGGTAGACAAGAGCGTACTAAGCAGGTCTCTTCGTTCGTTAATATAAGTACAAGGTCCGTCGTTAAGGCGCCGAGCATCTTTCCCGTACTATAATCTATCGTATGTCTATAGCTAGTAAGAAGGTAGGCAAGTAGTTACTTAACTTGTCCTTTGCGCTTAACGACTTTACGATAGCCTACTAGAAGAAGTACTACGATACGATTATCTAGGTCGATCTCAACGTATAGATAACTAAGGATCTACTAAAAGAGAAGGGCTATCGCATTAATAGTATAGGCTTTATTGTTAAAGGTTAAGAGGCTCCTATCGTTAATGTTCTTAAACGTAAGGCTCTTCGCCTAGAAACCGAGGCCGATACGGCTACTAGTCTTGCGCTCGCTATAGAAATGTAGGCTAAAGATCGTCGCTCGACCCGCAACCGTAAGGTCCCTTAAGAAGTTTAAGACGAGCGCGCTAAGGCCGAAGCAGCGCGCAAGAAGGCATTATATACTCGCTAGGCCCTCCGCAAGGCTACTAAGAAGTATAGCACTCCTTCTAGTACCGACTATAGTACTAACTATAGTACTAACTATAGTAACTCGGATATTAATATACTAGATATACTACTAGAAGATGTCTCCTCCGAAGGCTCCTTTAGCGAGCGTAGAGATAGAGGCCTCTCGCCGATCCTATTAACTAAGAACATCTATAGTTCTTATAAGGGCGACTCTATCGTATATCTTATTACCGAGATCGATATAGTTCCTAAAGCCGATATAGGTAAAGCTCCTACCGCCCTATCTATCTATTAACAGCTCGACGACCTTAGTAAGCTAGGTAAAGAGCGGTTTACTATATATGCTAACTATATTAAGAAGGCTGCTAAGGTCTATAGTCTCTATGCTAGTACTAAGACGAGTGTCCTTATTAGCCGCCTATTAAAGATTAGACGTAATGTCGCTAATTAAGATGCCTTCGCTACCCTTAAGGCTAATTAGGCCTATACTAACTGGTTTCCTAGACGCCCTATTGCCGCCCCGACATCTCTAGGACTCTACGTATTTAACCCTACTAGTACTATTACTCGCGCCCTTACGCCGACGGATCGCTAGAGCAAGTTCGTTACTAGTATCCTTAGCTAAGGCACTTCCTTCGACCGCTTTCGCTAGACTAGCAATACTATCTTCCCTTAAGTCTTTAGCTAGTTATAAGAGCCTCGTAGAGTATATCTTCCTTTCCTTATCGACCTAATATAGGAGGAGTTTAAAATATACCTTTAGTATATACGTACGATGCCTAAGTCTAAGTAGGAAGGCCGTAATGCCCTTTAAACTTATAGTATAAGCAACTAAATCGTCCGCTAGTACCCTGCCCTATAGCTCTTAGCTATCGCCCTTCGACCTAATTATATATACGAGCTTATCTCCGTCCCTAAGCCTACTAAGTTCTTTAAGGTTAGCGGTACTTATAAAAACTGTCCTTCTAAGGAGTCTGCTTATCTCGGACAAGATGTAGTTAAGCTCGCAGCTAGCGAGGGTGCTAGTTACCTACGTATTAAGGTCTGCCTTATATCTAAGGATAAGACTAGCTACTCTACTATTATCGAAGGTATATATTAGCCCGAGGTCTTTACGAACTAGGTTAAGAAGCTTAAGGCTCGTAGCCTAGTCCTACTAAGCAAGATCGGCAAGCTTACTAATAAGCACCTTACTAGCGACGACCTTAACTATATGTTCGATAGTTAGCCTAATAGTAAGGGGCGCAAAGCGGAGTAGATCCTTAACCCTCTAAAGGAATACGAGGTCTCTATTTAGATACTATACCTTCCGTATAGTAATCTAAAGACTAAGAGCAACCGTATATTAATTAACCTAGGCTACTCTCGCGTTATTAACGGCACTAAGGTTAAGGGCTACGAGAACTTAACAGTCTCTTAGGTTGCTAAAGCGCACCGCAACCTAACCGCCCTCCCGGCCTCTAACTCCTTCGTACTATTCGCTTTCCCTACGGCGATCTTAGTCGAAGGCCTCGGCTGCATCTCCGACGCCCTAGTTAGTAGGATTCCTTAGTTAAGTTACGTTATTTAGAACGAAGTTAAATAGATCCTCTAGCTTAATAACGAGGGACTTAAGGAGTATCTATATAATTAGGAGAAAGCTGCGACGGAAAAGGCTACTAACCTCCTCGTTAATTAAGCTTTCTACGAGGGATAGTACTTCGGTGCTAACAGCTTTAACATATACGGAGGAGATTTCGAGAGCCGACTAGCAGATAAGGTTATTACTAGTAAGGATTACGGCGCGTTAAAGCAACGGTAGGTCTATATAGTATTGCTTAGGAAGTCGTTTTTGTATAATTATAGTATCTAGGATTAATGCTACCCCGGGGGTATTATTGCGGAGTTGTAAAAATAGCCTTAGCTAAGACCGCTAAGGATACATATATATTTGTTTTAAGCGCGCAATATAAAGCGTATCTAGTTAGATACGAAGAAAGGGAGGGATATTAGCTAGTAACCGGCCCTATGCCTATAGGCTAGTTTTGAGCCTATATAAGAGGCCTCCTTCTATAGAGTAGACAGATTATCAACCTCGTATAGTACATTGTTTATATTACACTTCTATAATGCCTATGTTATAGGGCTCTAGTTATTAGCCTAAGCGACAGTCTCGTTATCCTATCTTGCTAAACATAGCTACCTATATTGCTATAGGTTATGTTACCCTCGGTAGCCTATACTATTGCTATAAGTAGTAGTAGTAGTGTTAGTTTCCGTCCTTTACCGGTTAGGGTCGTTATCGTTGCAGTATCTATAGTAGAATGCCTTATGCCTGCCTCTATCTACTTTTAAAGGCTTACTATCCTTTAGTACTCTCGTATGCTTCTATAACGCCGGATCTAGGCGGTTCCTACCTTTCCTTCTCTTTCTTAACTCGGCGAGTATCGGTATCGGTATTAGTGTCGCTATCGCTATCGATTGTACTATATTCGAGGACTACGAGGTAGACTAAAGGAATAAGCTATCGTCTAGTATTAGAGACGGCGGCTTATTAGCTTCGGAGGTTAGAATGTCGCTTAGATCGCTCAAATCTTTACAGAATAGTATCCGATCTAGTAGGTCGCTTTCCCGTCTCGATACCTAGGTATTTATATAATTTTCTAGCACTTTCTAAGTTGGTTTATATATCTTACGGAGGTTATCTCGCATCTCGAAGGTATAGCTGTCTTAAATTAAACAATAAAAGTCGAGATTTGAGTTTGCTAGCGTGCGGCTAAGCCGGACGGACCTTGCCGTCCGTACTAAGCGACGCTTTCCGATTAGGCTTAGCTAGACCCTAAGGGCTAATATAACGCAATCTTTATAGGCGCGATAGCAAGCTCGAATACTATTCTTCGACTAATTCTATACCTAATTAACAATAACAACCTTATTGTTACCCTTAGTACCCTCGCTATCGATTATACGGTATAGCACCTTATCGATACGAGCCTTAAAATACACCTATCGTAGCGGACACTACGATTTTAGCCTAAGAAAGCACTCTTCAGAGCAGATACACCTCCTTCTGAATTTAAAGTAACGACGAGAGCCTAGTACTATCTGCCTACCCTTCCGTTCTATACCTTTATATACCTTCTAAAGGCTATTAGTAATATGCTCTTAGTAGTTACTAGCCCTCTTAACGATCTCCTAAGTATACCGAAGGCTCTTTATCGTCTTCCTCGTAACCCTCTAATATAGCAACTATAAGCCTTCCTTTTCCGCCTCTCCGATATACTACTCGAAGTTATTCTATACTACTTCGTCGATAAAGGATAGTATACCGGCTTATTAGAAGTAGAGCTAAGTAGGAGTAATATAATAGTCGGTTTAGCTAAGAGTTAGATAGGTAGCTAGTATATCCTTTAGCAATAACTATAGGTAATAGCTCTGCGTTACTAAGAAGGCTATAGTTAATAGGTTAGAGGTCTATAATAGCGATAGCGACAACAATAGCTCTTCCTCTTAAGAAGGTACTAGTAACTCGGCAATCTGTCTAAATTAGCGACTTCCTATACCTATATTCGATTTACTTACCTCTCGATAAAAGTCGCCTATTATAGATATATTGTTGTCTATAGAAACAGGTGGAAACAGTGCAAATTTGATACCTTCTATAGGTGTAATACACACCCTAGTATAGCCTAGAAACAGCCGACTAATTACTAATTATAGTTACTAATTACTAACTCTATAATCATAATCATAGTTACAGCGATTACAGTAACTATTGATTATAGAGTAATCAGTAATCAACAACTATGCTGGCAGCACCGGCATACCCAAGGGGGTATTGATCGAACATAGGGGAATCGTCCGGCTCGTCAAGAATAATACTTCCGTAAATCGTCTACCGCCCCATCCACGCGTGGCGCACATGTCCAACCTTGCATTCGATGCAGCCACATGGGAGATCTATGGACCTCTTCTCAACGGCGGGTCAGTCGTCTGTGTGGACCATATGGCTGTGCTTGATGCCGAAAGGATCCGCGAGGTGTTCCATCAGCAACCCATAGTAGAGGCCACGTTCATCACACCGGCCCTGCTGAGAAGCTGGCTTGCACATACACCGAGCATTTTTGCAGGACTACAATTTCTGCTTGTTGGCGGCGAGCCAGTTGACACAAAGGATCTGGTAATGGCCAAGAAGCTCGCTCAAAGCCATGCCGTTGTTGGCAATGTATACGGACCGACAGAGAACACCACCTTCTCTACCATACACTTCATTAGCGACGATGAAGAGTTTCCGAATGGCGTTCCAATAGGGAGGGGCATCAGCAATACCGGAGCTTTCGTTATCGACGGACGGCAGCGGTTGCTGACAGCTGGTGCCATAGGCGAGCTCTTCCTCACCGGCGACGGTCTCGCGCGCGGATACATGGACTCTGCATTGAACCAAGATCACTTCGTAGAGCTCTCCTTCCTAGGTGCGCAGCCTGTACGTGGCTACAGAACAGGCGACGAAGTGAGACTACGGCCCAAGGACGGTCGTGTGGAATTCATAAGGCGACTGGACCAGCAACTGAAAATCAGGGGACAGCGTGTCGAGATTGCAGAGATCGAGCACATCATGATTCAGCAACAAGAAGTGCGAAATGCTGCGGTGGTTATCTCGACGGCGTCAAATGACGGCAGGCCTGAGATCATCTGCTTCATCACCACCACGATGCACGAAGAAAACACAGATGAGCTTGGCAAGAGGCGTCTTGTGCAGGAGCTTCGGGATCGCCTTCGATCTCAGCTGCCGTCATACATGATTCCCTCAAAGATTGCCGTGCTCGAGCGAATGCCTGTGAATTCTAACGGTAAGACTGACCGCAAAGCGCTGCTCGAGCAGGCACAACATCTTTCAGTGGTCTCAGAAGGGAGTACCTCGATACATACTGCTGCTCCGCGCAATGACACCGAGAGAAAGCTGTGCGAAATTTATGCACGAGTACTTTCAGAAGAGAGGGACGCAACAACAATCGGGATCGACCAGAATTTCTTCGACTTGGGGGGTCATTCATTACTAGCCACCAGCCTTGCTGCGCATATTCGTCGAGACATGGACATTGCCATCTCAGTGAAAGAGATCTTCCAATACCCTACAGTGGCAGACCTTGCTGAATGGATTCACAGTACAAGATCCAAAACCCCCCTGCTCACGAACGGCTCTTCTTCAGGCAATCATCATGCCGCCGCCCTTCAATTGCTCGATGTCGATGATCCTGAGCGCTTCATATCCGAAGAAGTTCTTCCTCGCTTGAAGGATTATCAGAGAGAGGCCATCGTCGACGTCTACCCAGCAACCCAGCTGCAAAAGACATATCTGTATGATCCACGGACAGGCCTCCCTCGGCCATGGGTGAACTTCTACTGGGATCTAAATGCTGCAGAGTCTGATATCAATCGCGTCGTACACACTTGTCGAGCTCTCACGACACACTTCGACATCTTCCGAACGACGTTTGTCTGCGTTGGCGGTGTCTATCGCCAGGTCGTGCTGAAACGACTCGATGTGCCGATTGAGGTCCACGACACGGAGACCGTCAACGGCAGTTGTGTGACCATTTCGCCTCAGCACGCAAGACTTGAACTATCACAAGAAGGACAAGCGTACCTGAGATTCGCCATCTGCCGCGTGCCTGGATCATCTCACACAAGAGTCCATCTACGGATATCACATGCTCTGTACGACGGCTTGAGCTTTACGCACATTTTGCATGCATTCCACGCCCTCTACAACGATTCCATGAATCACGTCATACCACAGTCTGGTCGATACATCAGATATATGCTAGAAAGTCGAACGAAGGGCCTTGGATACTGGCGATCACTCCTGGACGGCTCAACCCTGACCGCGTGGTCGTCCAAACCACCCCGAGACGAGCAAATGCCAGCCACAAGACAACTCGGCTGCTATATCGCAACAAAAACCATCCCCGTCCCTACAATCCAGCGAAAAGACGGCATCACCGCCGCAACAATCTTCACCGCCGCCTGCGCCCGGACAATTTTCACGCAGCTCAATTCCACCACCGCCAGAGACATCGTTTTCGGCAGAGTCGTATCCGGCCGCCAACATCTCCCACTCAAAGACCAAGACATCGTCGGACCTTGCACCAACACGGTCCCGGTGCGAGTGATTCTTGATCAAGACGGAGACGGAGAACCCTCATCACTGTTGTTACGAAAAATCCAGCAGCAATATCTCAACGGAATTCCCTTTGAGACGATTGGGTTCGAGGAGATTAGAGATCATTGCACGTCGTGGCCGGCTTTGTGTGGCAGTTTTTGGTGTGCGACTGCGTATAATGATTTCTCGCTTGGAGAGGCGGTGGTCGACGCTGTACAAGGCGGAGCTCGGGAACTCTCGGTGTATGAGGTGGAGATGGGAGGGGTGGTGCAGGAGGGGGAATTGATTGTGTCTGTGTCGGGACAGCAGGAGTTTTTTGATCGGAAAAGTGTGGACGGAATGTTGGAGTTGGTTTGTAGGTTTACGCGGGATTTGTCGTCGGGTCTGTAGAATGCGGACTGGAGTCGTAATCTGCGGTGTTGTTTTTTTTCTTCTTTGCTTGCTGTAAAGTAGAACTAGATGATCCGACCTTCTTTCTGCGCGGGCCAACTGACCTGAGTAGACAGTGCAACTCGAGTCTCCAGGATTCAGTCTCATAGATTCATTCCTATTTTCTCGTGCACTGAACTTCTGCTTTCTTAGTATGGAATCCACGAATCAGGGACTGGTATGAAATACAAAGTCCGTCGAAATTGCAACAGGAGCGCAGACAATGTCCTTTGCATGAAAGCCAACGTAGAAACAAATGGTACTTTTCCCACGACCGCAGAGCCGTCAGACACCAAGATCAGAGGGCAGCCCGTTTGGACAGAACAGAGAACGAAACGTCTGAGCTGGTCCAGGCGAGATCAAACTACCATTCTTGGAAGACTTCCATCCGCTACCCGCCCAGAACGGCGATCACTACCTAGCGATCTCCTCGCCGTGTGAGACAGTGCTCTTCAGAGATGTACGCTTGCCTTGCTAAAGCTATAGCCCAATCATATCTAAAGAAAACAGAATGACGGTTTGATTCAATGTTTAGTGAACAGTCACGAAACCCTAACTAGAAACAAAATCTTCCAAGAAAAGAATCTCGTCAACGATGAATACGATAGTCTTATAAAGTCGCAAATAGTACCTCTCAAATCCACAATGCAAGACCAAGGGGCAATCGAAACGCTACTCACCTCACCCTCAGCGAGCGAGGACTTTATCTTCAATTGCAACAAGAGAACTCTCCCTAAGCTTTCTATACAAGCCTCGCTCTGCTACGCACGTGTTGCTCGATTTTTTCGACACGTCCGGACTGTCCAATAAGCGAGAGTGTAAGGAAGCTTCTGAATACCATGCACAAGTTACCACGCTGTTAAACAATGCTCGGAAAGATTGCGAGCGAGGCTTCTACGATTTGAATCAGTTGTTCCAGGCCGTTCGAAGGATCATTGAAGCTCCTGGACAAGGAATGGTACGAGGAAGTCAAGGCGGAAGAACTCGACGCGATTAAGAGAAAGGACCATGGTTGGCGGATCAAGAGGAATTGCGACCCATTCGGGCCACTGGTATAGTTGCGCTAACAATCTCCCGGTACGTCTTCCTTCTCGTACACCTGTAATCCTAAGTAATCTTGCTAAGCCTGTGAATAACGGCTCGCCATGGGAGAGGGCGTTCAATGGACGTGCTGGGGATAAGCGCAGTCTCTCTCTTCCAAAATCGCAATTCAATCCCTCCATCCACCCCTATCCAAAACCCACACACACAACCCTCCCCTCAATCCCTTCCTTCCCATCTACCCCTCACTCCCCAACCCTCCACACCCCCTCCCCATCAACCTTCAAAACCTTCCCCATATGCCCATACCCAATACGATCATCCCCCACAATCCCATTCCTCTCCTCATTAATCACAGGTCCAAAAATCGGATGCACGAAAATCTCCGGTCTGGCAAAAGGATCGACTCGCTTGGCCCGGATGCCTTCAATCATGAGATCGAAATCCACGCATTCGTGTTCCACGTGCCGGTTGCCGCTGGGGAGGGGCGTGTTGTCGAGCCAGACGGTGGTGATGGGGACGATGTCGGCTTGGCACATGATTGCTTGGACGACCATTTGGAGGCAGTGGACTGGGGGGAAACAAAAACTATGTGTGAGTGAAGGGGGAGGATAGTGGTGGTGGGGGGGATCGGGGGACTTACGGTTGTGTTCGAGTTGGAGTTCGGTTTCTGATTGGGTCATGTTGGGGAAGTAGCGGTCGGGGAAGTAGGATTCGTGGAGACGTTTCTGTGTGAAGAGAGGAAGAGAGGTTAGATTTAGTTTTGGAACTCTTGATGGGAGTTGTTCATACCACGCAATGCCTAGGCGACAAGGTCAGCGGAATCTGCAGACAAACGTTATGGATGCTATTTGCAATTCTCACAGAAGATGGATCACAGAATACGTCGCCAGGAAATTCCCGTTCTCAAGCTGGATCCCTTCGTCCAATCTTCCCATCTTCTCCATATAGCTGTACGGTACTTCGGTATAAAAGTCTGAAGGGCAAGGAAATCAGCAATTTCCCATTTCGACGAGCAGACTTCCTTCACACTGACTGCTCATAATATGTCTCCATCTCGCATCACGCTCATCGGACGGCTGTCCCACGAGCGGGTATTCATTCGACCAGTGTCTTTGAGGAAAGATCTCTGGTTTATATTTGATCCAAGGTCTTAGAGGTGCTATTCGACGAATCAGTGAGCAAGCACACTACATCGATTAATATGTCTCCACATCGAGGTCAACGCACTTTCAACGACACCCGCTCCATGTATCCTCTCTCTTCTCCACCAGTTAGAGGTCACATATGCTACCAGCAGCGTGTAGAGTGAAAGCAGGCAGACGACTGCTAGCCAGACAGCCACGAGATTGCGGCACTTGCGAGACCGTTGCGGCTTTTTATACTGAACCTCATCGAGGTCACTGTCTAAGTCACTCAATGATGCGTCTCTGTAGGCTGGAATTGACGCGTAAAGGTGATCGTCGTCCTTCGGCCGCTCAGACGAAGCCATTTGGTAGACAGCCCATAGGGACCGTTGTTGGAAGGAGAGAATGATACAGAAATTTGCAAATCGGTGATGGAAGACGTACCTGAGGGCGGGATCTCCTTCGGCTCCCAAAATGCCGACTTCCAATGAATGATGTATATGGCCGATTTGCTGCCGGTGGTGTCATGCTCGATATCGCAGGGGTCGGGGAGAAGGGCATTTCTGACAATTCACATGAATCGAACTGCCCTCTCCTTTCATCCGTCCCAGTTCTACAATCATGCTGGTCTAGAGAAGCGATCGATCAGTGTCAGCCCACATCTGATGAGCTCTGCCTCGTGCCACCACCTCTCTGTAGGTTTTACTCGGGCCTGCTACGACCTTGTATATTATGCAGTGTCCTCTTCGTGGACCTGGCTCGAAAGAAGCTGTTATCGAGAGCTGGACTCAACGCAGCAAGCAGGGGACGTGAGATGTCCAGAACCATGACAAGATAACGATCCATACTACACCCGTTATCTCCGAACAAGGACGACTCCTCGCGATATGGAAGTTCTTGCATTCGCTCGAGTCGATCGCGATACGAACGAACAGCATCTTGCCGATGTCCAGGCACGAGCGCGAAGCATCGTAAATGCAGCAAAGATCCCAAGCAAGCTTTTCTGAAAGCTGACTACACATGCTTGCTGCCAACCCTATCATTAATCCTGGCTTGCGTGACGTTTGAGCTGCTCGGGCCGAGAGAGAAGGTGGACAAGGGACGGAGGGTTCTGCGTGATGAGCTGATTGGATTCTACTGTATTCTATGACCTACCTACTGTTGAGAATGAGAGCGCGGAGCAAGTCATCCAGGTCTGATCTGAAAGCTCATCGGGACCACGATCTAGATTGATGAGAGCAAAAGCTATCGAGGCAGGCCGCCGTCTTGTGTGAGAAGATGTTCGTGGCATGTTGCAAAGGTCGCATGTCGTTTACAATGCAGGGGTCTATGCACGGCCCGTCACCGGCATTAGCATGTCGCCCGGGTTCTCAATCCCCTCTTCCTTTTTATTCACCTACTCGGAGCCAGAACCGCTGCATCCTCCCGCCTGCCCCATAGCTTCTGTATGGAGTTTGTATAGCGCAGTTATGCCGCGACTGGGCCCTTACTTGTGAAACACTGTCTACATGAACGCAGCCTGGAATCCCTGGTAGTCGTTCACTCACTCACTCACTCACTCACTCACTCATCAACGGTCTCATGTGCAAGCGAATGTGGACTGCATAGACAAGACTCAAAGAAGCCTTATCAGTAGACAGTATGTCCTTGAAATAGGCCAGTAGATAGTCTTTGACGCCTGTCTTGTACCCCCGTGTTTTTACTGTGGTACCACCATCAGCTATCTTGCACATGGGACTGCGCTGTTATTAGCTGATCTTTGCCAAGACGGTACACAATGGGTATATCACCCCTGCAGACTTTGACAAGGAACACATAATGTCAGAATGCCAATGGTTGGTTGTCGTTTCATGCTTCACAACATGCGCGTGGTTGGAACTTGGAAGCTGAACGCGCAGCGTCGGGAAAGTCGATCCATTTCTTGCTCATGGGTTACTTATGGCGTGCTTTCAACACGATGCCTTGCCGCGATCCAACATTTCTCAAGCAGCTCTGGGATTTATGTCCAACTAAAGTTATGTTCGGTGGCATCAGAAATATCGGCAGATGGGCTACACCTCCGCTGTACAGCTCTCAGTGTGTTCTCTTTCGCCGCTCTGTGCTAGATGTATGCTTGTCCGCCCCTGTCTGCGAGGTATGGAGCTTAGCTATAGACCAGCAGATAGAGCTATTTGGCTATAGCGCAGGCAAGGTCTCGCGTTCCAGGAGTACCATCATAGAACTGCTGAAAGCATCGATACATCAGGCGGGCGCTGTAATTGGTGCTACTAATTGACGATGACTTCGGTCAGAGATTGCCCGAGTAGAACTACCCTACTGAGGCTCACAGCACCAGATAACTGTAGTCGTGTGCTCCTGGTCTCTTCCTGGCGTGATGTTCAAATAAGCTTTGAGCGAGCCTTGAGCACTCCTTCAAGCTCAAGCGTTGATGCAGAAGATGCATCGAAATGGGGATCCGCACTCCTGAACTGCAGGTACGTAGAATGGCTGGGAGAACTTCGCGATGTGGAAGTGCTGCATACGAAGGGCGGTACTTCACGAATCGTCTGGGCATTGACGATCATCGAGTCAGGGTTGCCTGTTGACGGTCCTTGCTGGCATCGAGACCACTTTCTGTCGGTGAGGAGCTCATGTAGGGAGAGTAGAGTAGCATAAGAAGCTGGAGCATCCTGTGTAGGTTGGAAGAAGTGATTGATCGACAAGAACGTCCCTTTCGATATCGATCTCTTCAAGATGCGAATCACATCTGTTCTCCTCTCGGCCTTCGTGCTTGGTCAGACTTATGCAGCTCCATCACAGCTAGCAGAGCGTGAGCGTTGTCCGCGCCCTCTGATGAGCCTTGCTAACCATTGTTCCAGGAGCCAATGTGGGCGTGCAGCGCCGTGAAGCCATCCCAGAGAAAGTTGACGTTCACGACGATAGCGAGGTGTGGCTCGGCAAACGCGAGAAAGTTGACGTTCACGATGACAGTGAGGTATGGCTCGGCAAACGCGAGAAGGTCGACGTTCACGACGATAGCGAGATATGGCTCGGCAAGCGGGAGAAGGTCGACGTTCACGACGATAGCGAGGTATGGCTCGGCAAGCGGGAGAAAGTTGACGTCCACGACGATAGCGAGGTATGGCTCGGCAAGCGGGAGAAGGTCGACGTTCACGACGATAGCGAGGTGTGGCTCGGCAAGCGGGAGAAAGTTGACGTCCACGACGATAGCGAGGTATGGCTCGGCAAACGCGAGAAGGTTGACGTCCACGACGACAGTGAGGTGTGGCTCGGCAAGCGGTAGAAAGCCGACGATCACGACGATGGGATTGTCTGGATTGGCTGAGTTGCAGAGAATATCGACGTCGGGATGAAGGGGTTTATGATCGTGGTCTGGGCTGTGTATGGCAGATTTATCTCCTTGGATGCAGTCGCTCGTTCTTTGCGTCGTAGAAGGAATCAAAACTGATCGGAAGTCGTGTGCCACTGGGTTTGGTGCCCGTTCAACCTCAAATGGCGTCCAGATTCCAGTTCTGCTCTTCAAGGTGTCATGGCCATTCCAACTCAGCTAGGTCGACGCATTTCCAGGCACAAGATCTCTGAAGGAATAGTCGCAGCCCGCAGCCCCAGCCCCAGAAGCATCAGAAAGTCAGGAAAACTTCGGGATGGAGAACGCATAACAAGTCGTTCTGCGCATCTTCGCAGTCCTTAAATTGATCCTCAGTCACCGAATGTACAGTACAGGCCTTGAAGCGCGTGGCAGTCGCGAAGATCTTCGAGGCATTGCCATTGTTTTCGAACTCGTGAGACGTGGACGTGCAAACGCGTGAGATTTCGTTGGAGATCGAGGCTGAACTTGTATTGGGCACAGCTTTGGAGGCACGAAAAGAGCAAAGGAGGAAGAAAGACGGAAGTGAAGAAATGAGACGTATAAGGGGGGGTGGGAGTGGGAATACGGCTTGTAAGGTAGCTGGAGCGCGGTCCGAGACTTACGCTATATAGGGTCAATCGGGGCGGCACATTTGACGACGGTCGCCTTGATGCAGCAAAAAAGTGGGATTGGACGGCAGAGAGCGTTGTTCCAGAAATGATGTTCTTGATCTTGATCATGCTAAGCCTCAATCGTGGGCCCTAATGGACTCAGTCCGTTCGACTTCATCTGCCCAAACCTGCTTCTCAATTGATGCATCCTCCTGCGAGGTGGACACCGGCAGAGCTTGCTGGGCATTCGTCAATTCTTCGTCGTCAGTGGCGACGTCGGAAGCATGCGCTTCATTCTCGCTGGCGTGAGCACTCTTTTCCTTCTCCTCTTCAGCCAGCTCTGCAGCTTCCCAGTCATCGGCAATTTCTTCAGGCTTCGGCTTGCTGTTTGCCTTGACTGGTGCTTTCTTGGCGAACGTGACTTTACCACCAGACAGAGCGGTAAAAGCATTACCGCCGCCACTGAATCCGGCACTCTGAAGCGAAGTCTTGGGAGCAGCTTTCTTCGCGGCAACTCGTGACCACCCATCACCACTGGCACCATCGGACTCGTACCTTGTGATGTTCAGAGAGCTGTCCGTGGTGCAAAGTTGCACATTACCATATCCCCGAGAAGCGATAGCTGTGGCGAGAGGCATACGAAGATTCTGCAGCATCTGCTCTAACTCGGGTGCAGGTAAAGTTCTGCTGACCGCCTTGAGGACAACTTCTTCGCTGGGCAGGAATTCGATGTCAAATGTGAATGGTGTTCCTGGGTGTATGACATTGTTGACCTCGGCACGTACTTCGTCGATGGTGAGACCAAACCGTGGCTTGGTCACGCGAAAGCTGTTGAAAGGCTCGAACAAATTCAAATTCGGCTTGGGCCTGGGCTTAGACGAAGCACCTTCGGTATCGGATGCGTTGGCACTCACATTTGTGGATCGCATCGTCTGCTGCCGGAGTCGAAGCGCGTCGGCCAGTGTCTTGTTGGGCGCGGAGACAAACCGCGGTGTTTTCCAGACGATGACATGACGATGCGGTTCTGGGTCGATGCTGTCGGAGTCCAGACCAAAGTCTTCTGCCAGAGAGTGGATGAAGGACCGCTGTAGTGGCTGCATTGGTTTGAATCGCAGGCGCTTCTCATCTTCGCTCGCTGCAAAGACACGAAATTCGCGTTCCTGGGTCTGTGCCCACTTCACCTGCTTGGCGAAAATGTTCAGTGTCTCACTGGAGTATGGAATGTGATCCAGGCCGTCAACGTGCGCTGACTGGTCAATGTTGAGTGCCACTGCCAACTTGCGGTTACGTTCCAGCCTTGCACACTCATCGTTGCATGGGAGAGACTTGTTGAGGTTGCCCTCCGTGTGTTTGGAGGCGCCACACTTCATCTCTTGCTTTTGAGCTTGGCAGTCGCAGGTAATGAATATCTTGTTCTGGCAAGGCTTCTCCTCTTTGCATGGATATGGCGCGTGGCACGGAGCTTCGTCTGGATGACCGCAGATCTTCTTGAGCTTTCCGCAAGGCTGCAGGCACTGCTGTCCACCAGCGCCTTCGCAGTCCCCTGTTCGGTGGCATGGCTTGCGACAAGCGTGAACGCCGCACTTGAGCTTCTTCCCGCAGACGACACCGCAGCTGACATCACGCAGCCAACACTGCTGGTTCTTGAGAGATTTCTTGCCACACATGCAGCGTTTCTCAACCAGAAAGGGACACTTCGGACAAGGGCCGTCATCTTGGTGACAGTTATGAGGAACTTGAGGATGCCCGCACGCTTTGGGTCTTTCGCAAGAATAGCGACAGGGTGGGGGCTGTGTGCCACAGGGCAGAGGAGGCTCAAGAACCGTCCTTCCACAATTGCAGGCAATCTCTTCGAATATCGCTTCTCTGCATGAACCACAAGGCCCTTTATGACAAAGTTCTTCGCAGACATGATTCCCGCACTTCAAGAGACGACCGCAAGAACGCGTGCAAATGTGTTCGGCCTCGAAAGCGTCGTCTGCTAATCGCCGCGGTGCAGAGCTGAGTGGCCGTTGCTTGCGCTTGCTGGCTTGGCGTTCGTGGGCTTTACGTTCGCCAGCACAACAGTGCTCCTCGCACATATGTCTTCCACAATTCAGCGTAATCCGGCAGACACGCATACACTGTGGCGGCTCATCGATCCCCTGGTGGCACATACTTCGAGATGTAGTCCTGCCACATCGGCAGTTGATGTCGACGGTCTTCAGGCAGGAAGGACAGTCGCCCGTGTGGCACACCTCCGGGCACTGGTGACCGCAGGCCAAGACTTTGTCGCAAGCTTTGGTGCAAGCTGGTATTGGGTCATTGCAAGACGTCCGCTTCTCGTCTGTCAGCTCGGCCAATGGTGTCTTTCCGCAAGAGCAGTGAGTGACGACATCCGGCGAGCTTGGACAGTGACCACAGTCAGCATCCTGAGGATGGCAGCCCTTAGCACAGCGGTGTATACCGCAGTCGAACTCTCTTTGGCAAGTGTTACCGCAGTCGAAAACACCGATCCAGGATTCTGAAACCATCTCGTGGGAGTCGGTTTTATGATTGCGGACGCTCTGTGCTGGGTCGCCTCGGTCGCTGCAAAGCACGTCCTTTTCCATCTGACCGCAGTAGCAGCGAGCGGGTAAGCGCACTTCACAAGGTCCACAGCTGCCTTCGTGGCATGGTCGGCTGCATCGATGCTCTCCACATGCCATGGCAGCTCCGCAGATCTCACCGCAAGTCCAGCCAGAGTCATAATTGGTCTCCGAGCATCGCTTTGTGGTTTCGTGCTTTCCACAGAAACAAGACTGTGAAGGAGCCATGTGACTGCACGGCGGGCAAGGGCCAGCGTGGCAGGTTAACTGGCACGGATGAGGACATTTTCGAACACGATCTTTACCGCACGACTGGCCGCATGAATGTGGAGGGAGTCCGGCGAGTGGTCGAGGTTCGAGCTCCTTTTCGCACCAGCACGTGTAAGAGGAAGGCAGGGTGTCCTTGGGTAGATTGCAACCGGGACATCGCCAAAGTCTAGGCGGAAGCTCTCCATTCTGATCACGCTGCTGCTCGGCGGCAGAGCCCAAATTAGTCGACCATTTCTTGATGCAAGACAGATGAAAGACTGTCCAGCAAGTGTGACATGACCAAACTTTCGACTTTCTCTGGACATCGCTTGTGCAGATGGGACATTCGTAGTGGCCGTTGTCGATGTCTTCGTGCGTGCGTGTGGCAATGTCTGGGGCCTGTGATTTCGGGGCTTGTGGCTTTGGCTGGCGCGGCGGTTTCGAAGACTTTGTTCCAGGTCTAGCGTGTGCTACACTTTGAACATGCTGTTGGCCGGGCACGAAAACAGGCGCACTTCCTTGGAGTTCTCCGGCAGTCAAGGTGGCGTCGGAATCATGAGTCTCTGATGTTGTAAGTTGACCCCCAAACGTCCGACCATTTGCAGTGCGGGCTTCTGGCGCTACTCGGCCACCTCTCCCTCTTCCACGCCCCCTACTGCGCCCTCCTCGAGTACCTCTTTGGGAGGCTTCTTCGGCGCTGTTGGGCTGAGCGGTTGATGTTTGAGAATCCGGCGCAACACTTGCAGGCCGCAGACTCAAGACAGAACTCTCGGCGCCACCTCGCTGTCCACCTCTGCCGCGTCTAGGTCGCTTCCTTCCTCTAGACGAATGTGTGTTGGTGTTGGACGATGATGACGGCACTGGGGCGGAAGTCGGGGGCTCCATGGTGGCAGCGATATTAGTGTGATGGACGACGTTCGAGCCGTCGATGTTGTTTGCCGTGTGCAGATGGTGTAGTCTGTCGATCAATGCTACACCTGCACCCGATATGATGAGAAGGTGGAAGGAAATGTCAGGCTCTGCAAATGTCGGCCTGACTGAACACTGAACAGCCTACGAGCAACGCAAACGCCGTGCAATGCGAAAATGACAGTGAGTCGATGTATGAAAGGGTGGAGGTGGAGGTGGAGGTGGAGGTGGGTGCACATATCGATACAGCATGAGCGTTCGCTGCAGTGGCGAAGTCCAGTCACTCTATTGATAGTGAGCGAAGATGAGCCATCGATGATGACAAAGCGGGCACATCCTCAGGCAGAAACTTTCCGCCAAGAGTTCGTGTGTGTGGGGCACTTCCGCGATTTCTCTCTGAGCAGCAGCAGCAGCGACGCGGGCAGCCCGTCGACGTCGAGATCCGCCTCTGCTGTTCGACCGCCGCATTCCGTCCACCATCGCCTACGACCCAAAGAACCTGCCACGATGCCCGGCTTTCCCAGACTGTCGCTCGTCGAGGGTTCCTTCGAAGAGCTCGCGCTAGAACTCGCCCAATACCTCGACAACGCCAAAGAAGGCTCGAATGTCGCCGCCGAAATCACACCTCTCCTTGCCGACGCCGAGAAGAGCGAGCGTCCAGCAGACTCCGATCGCGAGAATGCGCTGAAAAAGCTCGTGACAGGCAGCGCCGTCCTCAACAGCGCTCCAGAGCGGGAGTTGCAGGCTGCATACAACCTTCTCATCCACCTCATCTCCCAAACCGAAGAGCCCGAGATCTTTCTGCCACCACTCTGCAAATACCTCAGCCAGCCCATTATATCCTCCCCGCACAATGGCGCGGGGATTGCCCTTGGTATTCTGGCCACATTGTTCAACTCCATCCAACCAGATGACGAGACTCGCTACCACGTGCTCCTTGCCATTATCAGCGTCATCAAGAGCTCAGGCAACTACGACACTTTGCGACCACAATTGAAGAATGTCGACAACTGGGTGGAGGAATGGGAACTGGAACCAGCCGAGGCTCGAAAGCTGTTCCTAGCCATTTCCGACGCGGCAGCCGCAGCAAAGGAGTCGGAGGATAGCTACCATTACCTGCTCAAGGCTCTCCGCACAAGCCAAGATGCTGAGTCGGCCGCAGCGGCCAAGGACCTCTCCGTTCGCGCCCTCAAAGCTGCCCTTCACAACGACAAGCACTTCGACTTCCAGGACTTGACCGCGCTCGACAGTATCCAAGCTCTGAAGAAGTCCGACGAGACTTGGTTCGAACTGCTCGAGATTTTTTCTGCTCAAAACTTTGACGACTTCCAGGACTTCAAGGAGGCAAACCCTTCCTTCCTCTCCGAACAAAGTCTGGATGAGGCAATCCTCGACAAGAAGTTGCGCCTGCTCACCTTAGCCTCCCTCGCAGCCGCAGCGCACAAGGAGCGAACGCTGCCATACAAGCAAATCGCACACGGCCTCCAGATCCCGCTCGAGGAGGTGGAGATGTGGGTGATCGATAGCATTCGCAGTGGGCTGGTCGAGGGCAAGCTTTCGCAGCAGAAGCAAGAATTCCTCATCCACCGTAGCACGCATCGCGTGTTTACCGAGAAGCACTGGAGGGAGGTTGCAGCCAGATTAGACGTTTGGAGAAACAGCTTGCAGAATGTGCTTGCTGTGATCCGACAGCAGAAGGAGGAATTTCTGCGCGAGAAAGAGGCTGAGCTGCAGAACCAGGGGGCGAATGGAGAATCGAAGGCCTACAGGCCCAACCGCGGACCGCGAAATCAGGCTGAGCGGAGAGAGCAGGCGATAGAGGTGGATTAGAGCGATGGTTTCTCATGGTGGGAGTCGGTAGCATGGCGTTCCGGGCGTTGGGCGGAGACTGAGTGCTTCCCAGCACTGGTGGCATGAAGATAGATAGCACGGTCGGCGTCTTGATAGCTGGCCCGGCCCGTGGACGATGCAAATGAAGTGTTTCCAAGCTCAGTCGCCTTTGGCGCGATCACGTACAACGAACGATGCGTGTTGGGAATACTTCGTATTCGTTCCGTATCGTGAATCCGTCTTCGCCATGATTGGCTGAGACGGGGCCAGGATGGACGATGCTACTGAAAGTCAATTCTGACAAGGCTACGCGTGACGCGTGACGCGTGACGCGATGGTATGTGCTCTCGGAGTCTCGGCGGCCGAGGTCGACATCAACAACTCGCCAGGTGAGTCAGACTTCTTGGAAGCATCGCACCAAAGAAATTCGCGCGCTGTCACGGCCGCTGGGGAGGACAGGTAGATGTTACCAGCTGCGCGATGGACTTTGCCGTGCGGCTCCCGTGGCTCACCCCCAGACTGCTTGCGCACCATTGGACTGCGCCATGTCGACCCTACGCCTACGGGTTTTGGTATTGGCCCACCACCACCACCACCACCACCACCACGGCACCTGGCGGATAGTGCGTGTCGATACGCTGCAACTCAGCAATGCTGCCAGCGCCATTCAATCCAGTCCGCCAGCCGGCACTCGCTGCATCACAACACCACCGCACTCCGGCAGCACGCTGGCTTCACCGCGAACGCCGGCCGAGATGGGCTTCATATCATTGTTTACGAAGGGTCCGAAGAAAGGGACGGAGCTCAATGCCACATGTCCGCGATGCGAAACGGCCGTCGAGCTGGCGCCTCCATTCCCTGAGCAATCTTTGCCTGGCTCGAGGGCTCCGACAGCACCTCGGATCGTGAGTCCGTCATACCCATCGAAGCGTGCCTCCCAGCTCGCGAGTGGGCTTGCGGACGACAGCTCGGATCGTGACGACAAGTCAGAACAACAAGACTCCTTCAGAAGGCCCAAAGGCGTCAGACTCACCAAAGTCCTTTCTATGAACCCTAAACTGTCTCTGGAAGAACGTCGTGACCGTCACCATACCATCCCAAAACCAGTCTCTGGTCTGGCTCCTCTCGGAACTCCTGACGGAAGGACAGGAGAGCCACCTCCTGGCCCCAGACTCAGAGATCTTTCAAACTTCCCATACCTTCGGAAACAGGCACAAGCGACGACAGCGCGACGAGAGCGAACATGGGCCGACATTGAGAAGCAAGCTTCCGAACTCGGCAAGAAAGCCGAAAACCATGCGTTTTCCCTGGATGGAGGCCAAGATCAGATTGAAGGGATCCAAAGCCTGTGTGACGACTTCAATGATGTCTACGACTACTTTGGGTCTTTGATCGCAGAGCTGGACGATATGATCGATCAGCATGGAGTGTCGACCCGGTGCGATTCTGCTTGTCACGCGGCTACGGCGGCGCTCGTTGAGAACATGGCGCAACACGAACATGATGTTTTCGAGACACTCCGCAATACCGGTGACGCTAAATCATCAGACGACGAGGAAACTTCCGGTCTCGGTGTGGAAGCCGTCACACATCATCATCATCAATCAAGTCCGTCATTCCGCTTCGACACTCATGATGACTGGAGCAAGGAAACAGGCAATCCAGCAATGGCAAATCCTTTCAAAAGCCCCATCCCAGCCCGGAATTCCCCGACCTCAACGAACCATCTCCATTGGAATCTTGAAGATTATATCCATTCTTTCCCTTCCCCGCCTCCCTCGCCACCGCCAAGACATAAGGACCACGTACGACCCACCCGACCACGGAAGGACTCCAAACATGATTTACACCCAATCGAAGCCAACAGTAGCAAAATCCGTGTCAGATATCCGGAGAGATGTGCCTTTTGAGTACAAAATTTTTCCCCTTTTTGTTTTTTTTTCGGACGAGGAACAGATCGGGCGCGGCGCAGGGATAGTAGAAGAGAACAGAGCAGAACAGGACCTGATTGCTTGCTTGCTTTTGCTCGAAGATAGAACAGAGTTTTGTATACAGAGCTAGCTAGTCCTCTCATCTCCTCTGTTATCTTGTAGAAACAACTACGAATCTTGACTTGAGAAGGTAGATTCTTTGGCTGGAATTCGGGGAGATGATATGGAGCCGGGAGGAAGTTGAGCCCCCCATTTAGACTTTTTTTTTCCTTTTTGTGATTTCTTATGTTAAGGAGCTGAGGGAGAAGACCCGTGGTTATATATCACAGGCTACCAAGGCTCCTACCTCTCTTGTGGGGAGAGAGGTCATCGTTCTCGTTCGGCATTTTTGGCTGGGATGCGGAGACTTCGGAGGAAAAGATGTACAATCGACTGTATTTGCTCTTGTATATTAAAGTGGCCAGATCAGGCTTGAGATGAGTAGAGACAGCATTAGTACTCCTGTGCCTGTGTCGGAAAATCTGGTTGCAGTACGGGATGCTGAACTAGAGGAGCTATTGCCTCCACTTGTTGAATGTGAGCCATTTGAGCCAGCTCTCGCATCAAGCGCATCGATCAGTCGATTGAAGATGGGAGATCCCAGTCCGGTGACGGGATCCCAACCGACCGACACATTGTAGCCTGGAGTCTGGCTCAGAGTGCAATTCGAGTTTGGTGCACATTGACCGGAGTTGTTGCCTCCCTGAGTAATGTCGTGAAGTGTGCCATTTGGGAGACTGTACAGCCACGGATTGATGAAGCCAAGTGTTGGTCGTCCACGAGACATCTCATAATCATTGAGTAATGTGATGATCGCACCCCAAAGATGAGCAGCAGCAGAAGTACCTCCTACGGCCAAAAGCAAGTTTTTCGTCACAACGGGAAAAGATGTCGAGAAAGCACTGAGATCGGGAATGCCGCGACCTGAAGCGTTGAATCCGGACACGTCACGGTATGAGGACGGAACATGATCGGCGATGTATAGGGGCACCACTGCGCTCTGATAATCGGGTCGTTCGAAGTAGTTCGAGAACCCACCGCCAGATGCTATCAGAGATGCTTTGTTGACCACGCCCTGGACTGTTTGCTGAGTAGCTGCCATCTCGTCGGCAAGATTGGTCGTTCCCCCAACGCTTGTCACATACGGACACGAAGCGGGAAACTTGGGTTCGAAAATGTCCAAATGCACCCGGTCCGGCTGGTTACCCTGTGCTCCGTTGTTGCCAGAGCTGAAAATCAGCGTCACTCCGCGAGTGCCAATAGCTTGCAACATCCTGCAAACACTTCTGGCGTACCCTTCATCGACTTGGTTTTCGGACCAGCTCTCGGAGATCGAGACCACCGACGGTACGGTTTCGTTGTGAATCATCTCCTGCAGGAACTGAACGAATGGATCGTATGTGTCAAAATTCGTATACCTTTGGCCCGCGGCATCGACGCTGGAAGCGTTGCTTGGGCCAAAGACGCCTCCCAGGTTGTAGAGTGTCCCAGTCGCAGGCCAAGCAAGACCCAGGACCGTCTCAGTCGCTAAAGCAGTCTCAAAGGCTTCTTCCACGCCGGGGATCCCATTGGCAGCATCACCGTTTCCGACGATTTGATAACTTGCCCTTGCCTCTGCAGCTGGCTCGTTGTAAGTTTCGAGAAAGGTCTGCAAGTCAGTCGCATTGAAGACCGCTGCCTCGGTGGCATAGACGGCGAATGTCGTTCGATTTGGCTCGGCAGTGTGCGTGATGTTGTAGACTTGGCGAATGCATGCAGGTGAGCTGACGTCGTCGGCACCACAGCTCTGCGACTGTCTCCTCCAATGCTCGGCCCCTCGTTTACGAGGTCTCTCCTCTGGATCGTGCCTTGAAGGCGCCGGAAATAGATTCGTGGGTGCAACAAATTCGATGCTTTCCTGCAATGCTTGCGGTATGCTAAAGTTCTCCGCTCGGAGAATGTCCCTCCAGCCATCAGTGTAGACATAGTACGTGGTATTAAGAAGCTCCTCGGCTTGCCCTATCTTCATCGCTGCATCGAGAACGTTTCCACGCTGATTCACGCCGGCCAGGTGGATGCCAGCGTCGTGAAGCCATTGTGACACCCCAGCAGAGGCCGACGGGGGCGCTGTGAGTAACAGTTGTAACTGGGGAACGGTCAAGTGCTGTCGAAATCTCTCGTGACCAGGGTCGGCGATTTGTGCGGCCGCCTTCTCCAAGCCCAGATAATCACTGGCGGCGAGGCCAATGTGCAAAACGACTGATGCGTTCGATGGAGCACGCTGCTGGATGTGCCATCCCGCTGGGCTCGCGGCAGCTGGTGCCAGAAGCGTGCTCAACAGCAGTCGCAACTCATGCCACCGCATGATCGTGGGTTCGCAGATGCAAAGACGAATGCAGAACACAGGAAATACGATGCAATGTCGGTTGTATGTAGTGGGCTTTATCCGGGGTTGCGTCAGCCCACTTCACCCCTCGCCCCAGCTCGGGGATTCAAGCTATACGTAAAATCGCTTTTTCTTAGTAGGCCACACGTAAAATTCGATGACAATAATGTTGTAGAGCACATATAATGGGAAATTGAATATGAGTGCGATAAGGGTTAAGAAGCAGTAGATTTCCGGCATATTGGCGACCAAATTGCGACCGCAGGTGGTTAGAATAGGCTAACAATCGGCCTCCGCGTATACATCGCGTCAACTATATGGTCAATCACTTCACAGGTCGGCCTATATGTCCATTGTGTAACTGCCACCTCTTCTTGCTGAGTGAATAGCTGACCGCTACTGTATCCACTGTCTACCTCTTCTAGCTTGATAGGGTTGTTCTTGCTGCCAGCAACCGCGCCTTTGTAACGACTGGATTTCTTCGGAGGCGCGTTCCACCACCCTCTCTGCCCTCTCCGTCTCGGTCAACCGCTCGGCCCGCACCCTCTTCACCTTTTTGCCCCTTTTACGCCCCATACCGAGTTTTGTATACGATCCGTACAGTGGAACATAAGAAACAGGAGGAACACGAGGAATACACGCTTTGGAATGAGGTGGACGCGCCTGCCAAGGATTACATAAGAAATGGCGACAGCGAGGTCCTACGACCACCACACGCTCGGATAAACTAGCCAATATCATATTTGGACTCGCGGTTTAATATTGCACCTACCTGGATATCTATATAGGACTGGAATATACTACTTATCGAGTTTTACGTGTAGCCTACTAAGAAAAAGCGATTTTACGTATAGCTAGAAACCCCGCGACGGAGCTCTAGAGTAGCAAAGCTCCGGAAATGGAATCTTTAGCGCCTTAATCAAATTTCATAAAATTTTAGTTACTCTTAGCAACTTTCGTAAACTCTTAGCAACTTTTAGCTAATTATAGGCATAGATGTCGCTATTACCCGATACTACTCTTTCGACGTAGGAAGCCGTAAGAGCTACTAGAAGTTAATAAAGTTAGTAGTATTAATAAATGCTAAAAGCGTATTCTGTTGCTTTAGCATTTCTTTGCGTTCTATGTCTAATATATACGCCCCTTATAGTAGTTTATATAAGGGGCGTATATGTTAGCCTACCGGATATCCCCGTTACTTAGCCGACTCGGATACAAACCTTCTACTATGTTCCTACGTAGGTTGATAATATATACTAAAGAATGTACGCGAGCGAGCTAAGTCTTAGGTATAATAACTATATCCCGCCGAAAGCATATTATTGTCGCTATCCGCCGTACGCCTTAATCGACATCGACGCTATCGACGACGAACACTAGGACCGAGCTATATCGAAATACAAGAAGAGCTATATTAAAACATAAGAAGGGCATCGCAGTATAATTATTTAGAGTAGGAGCGCTAGCTTCGCCGACTCGCAATCTAAAGCTAGTCTGTTTATCGATCGTCGAAGGCCTTTAGCGCGTTAGCGAGAAGGCTAAGCGCCGTCTTAGTCTTAAGATGTCCCGAAATGTCCTTATATAGCTAGTTAATATAGCTAGCAGCACTAAGACGCCTACTATATCGAGCGCTTCGGGCGGTTGTATTCGAGTAGTATAAGGTTTTACGGGTCTATCCGATACTAAGACGACTAAGTCCCTCTACGACTTCTTCGCTAGAAAGTATAGCATCTGCTTACAGTTTTATAGCCTGCCTATCGTTTAGGTAAAGGACAACTATTGCTTGTCCTTTAATATGTCTAAAAGGTTAGCTCCTAGTATGCTAACTATTATCAACTTTTATTAACTTTTAGCAAGACCTAGCGACAGGACATCTGCTACACGAAGCTACTATCCGAACTTTTATTAACTTTTATTAACTTCCGGTAACACCTAGCGACCGTAGAGATTGTTCGAACTTTTATTAACTTTCGGCAAGACCCGGCGATCGTAGATCTTATACAACTTTTATCAACTTTTAGTAGGACCTAGCGCTAGTAGATCTTACGCCTCCGATATTCGAACCTTTATTAATCTTCTATAAGACGTAGCGACTGTAGATGTTATACAACTTTTATTAACTTTTGTCGACTTTTAGTAAGACCCGGCGACCGTAGATCTAGCTTAACTTTTATCGACATTTAGTAAGCCTAGCGACAGTAGATCTTGTACCTTACAAACCCTATATTCGAACTTTTATCAACTTTTAGTAAGACCTAGCAACCGTAGATCTTGTACGTTAAGAAGCCCTAATCCGAAGTTTTATTAACTTTTAGCAAACTTCTACAAGTTTTAATAACCGGCGATAGTAGGTGTTATGCGTCGAGAAGCCCCTATCCGGCAATTCTTATTAACTTTCGGTATTTATAACGCCGCTAGTTTAGAAGCATACTTCGTCTAACCGCAACCTTCTTAGCCGTAAGATATACTATATTCTCGATAGCATATACCGCTAATCCGACAATATTAGCGGAAGCAGTAAACGCAGCTAAATACTCTATAGGCATAAATATCTAGCAATTCGACGACTTTATCCGCTAAATAGGACTAACGATCGCTAACGACTATCGCCTACGATATAGCAGCTCGCATCGCTCTAATTAAGGCAAAACATAAGGACACTAGAGACTAAGCCGGTCTAATTGTTAAGAAGCTTATAGATTATATTAGCGTCGCCGCGACAACAGTTATACTAGTATCTCGGAGCCTGCAGGTTTAAGAAGCGCGGATATTACTTCCTATATTTAAAGAGCTAAAAAGGATATTAGGTACAAAGACAAGACCTTAGCACAATAACAAGACTTTAGCAAAAGAAGATAACGAGAGTAGGACTCGAACCTTAAGACCTTAGCAAAAGAATATAGCCCCTCCGAGATTCGAACCCGGGTTACTCTAGTATAAAAGAGATATTCTCGATCGAGTATTATGCAAGTATATAGATTGTAACCGCTCTCGCGCCTATTAGCTCGGCTATTTCTGCCTCCGACTATCGGCAGTCTATATAATTAGAGGTATTATAGCTGCTAGATAGGCGGTCCTTAAGCAGCTACGCTCCGTTGCTATACCGCAGAGCGTACTTAACTACTATACTAAAGGGCCTAATTAGATAACAGCAAGGCTGTATAGTTCCTATATTAATATACTTAATCCGCGGCAATATCGACAAGTTAAACAAGTCCTATAGCCCTAAGGAGATTAAGGGATTAGGCTAAGGAACTTAGCCTAGGCAGCTTTAGCAATCACCTTAATCGCCTTATAGAACAGGCCGATATTAATTAGCAGTTATCTACGAGAAGTTAAACAATAAGCTCAAGTCTAAAACAACTAGCAAATCTTAGCGTAACAGACAGACGAGAAGTATAACGATAAGAAGATTAATAATAACCTTAAGCCCGAGACAAGTAGCAAACCTTAGCGAAATAAGAAGGTTAACAATAACCTTAAGCCTAAGACAACTACTAAGTCTTAGCGTAATAGAGGTTACTCTTAGCGCGAAGTTAAACAACGAGGACTAAGACAACTAGCAAATCTTAGCGTAACAGACAGACGTTACTCTTAGAAGATATTAGAAAGTAGTAGATACGGATATTGTATTTCTTAGCGAAGTAGTCGTAGAGGGATATAGGCCTTATACTGCTTAGCGTCCTAGTAGATAAAGCGCTCGATGCAATACTTATCCTCGTTCTACTAGCTATAGTGCTTAGCAATAATGCGGACCTTGCGGAACTTCTTAAGACTAAGACTGTATTCGCCCTTCTCGCCTATCTTCTAGAGACCGGTCTAAGCCTAAGCAAAAACAAAAGCTTTTAAAACTACGAAGACTACTACCTAAAGCAGATAGAACTAGCAGAAGTCGATGCGTACGACGAGACGCGTAGGTACTAGAGGAGGTAGAGTAGGCACGAATAGTAGTAGTAGTAGCGGTAGTAGTACTATAGGACCGGCCGGAGGTGCGATAGGAGGCGGCAAGGCAAGCGGCGCTAGACTAAACACATCCGGCGCGAATAGTCTAAGACCTTATAGATTTAGCAATAGTGCTATTTAAGGTAGCTACTGCGATGCTGCCGTACCCTATCTAGATCTATATTAGTAGCAGGAACAACGATTCAACTAGGCTAGAGAACAACTTACCTAGCCCCGAAGCGAGTAGCCCGCCGTAGGAGCTGTACTGCTGCTACTAGCATATCGGCCTCGTTAAGCTTTATAACGGCTATATTTCCTAGTTAGCGCGTGCTTAAGATAGAGACGAGCCTACTAGGGCAACTTACAGAGTGCTAGTGCTATCTTTGTTACTTTCTATACCGTTGGCGTAGTTCTTGTATTTAAGGTAATACTATTACAGAAGAGAGCGAGAAAGCGTACGTAGTATCGATAAACTAAATAGAAGAGAAGCGTCTTAGGAAGCAGGCAATATATAAGCGTAAGAGTAAGGTAAGTTTAGTAGGTTCAGTTATTTAGGTAAGCTCGTATTGTTCTAAATGTCAATAGGAAACTTATAACCTAGCGTTCCTTCCTAGCAACGTCGTAGTACGCTCTAAGGCGTCAACGAATACGGGAATACTATACTCTACCGAGACAAAGAGAATCGAGTCTATCGAGAAGGCATTTAAATCTTCAAACTAGGAGCTATTGAATTTATCAAACTAGGAGCTATTTAAGCTATTCAAACAACCAATGTTAAAGCTAGAAACCATTTAAATCAAACAGTAGGACTAATGCTAGAAATAATAGAATCTATATCAATACTCGATGCTTAGCCCTTCTTGTAATCCTTCTTACCTCCCGCAGATCCCGGCGACATTAGAGGAGGTGTCTGCCCTAGATAATGTCCCTAAGCTGCCTTGAAATTCTCTCGCGCTATACCTATAGCCTCTCGCTCGATCGCTGCCTAAGCTAGCCCTTAAGATCTAGCACTCGTCGGCTAGACCTACTGCTAGTTAACTTAACGCTGCATTTCCTAGTCTATACGCTATACCCGCTCGGTAAATAAAGGCTATTACTGCAAATTAAGCGGCGCTGGCTTCTTCGAAGCCTTCTTACTATCGTTCTAGGAGCTTATCGTAGCGACTAGGTTCAGTACTACGTAATTAAGCTCGGAAAGACGTTTAATCTAGATGCTCGATGCTTAATGCTTAATACTTAATACTTGATGTTCGACGCTTAGTGTTTAGTGCTTAGTATAGAGCCTAGGTTATTAGTATGTACTTTCGTTGTCTCGTAGGGTGTCCTACTTAAGAGAGGATCGAGCCGTAATAAGTACTACTCTTCGACTGAAAGTTTGCTACCGTTGCCTACGAGAACGTAGCTGTCTAGTAGCAAGCATAACCGACAAGCATAACTAAATAACTGCTATAGCAAGCAGTATATGCCGTATAATAGACGGCATAGCTATAGCTAATATACGGAAGATTACTACTCGGAACAAGGCAATTTCTAACGTAAGAGACATACTAATACTGATCTAAGTCGCAACACTAGAGCCTATAGCTCAATTTAGGTCCTATACTAGTCGTTAGAAGTAGGGGATCATCCTTCGCGGCTTTACAACCCCCCATTCTAACGTATTAGGTTCTTACTCTAAGGCAGATATATAAAGGCCTAGCTATCGGCTACAACGCGGAACGCTTAGAGATGCTAGCTTATCCAACCCTCTACCTTAATACTATTGCCTATTAGTTACGTCTGTTTCGTACCTACTATCTATCTAGGTCGAGTAGGTCGTTAGCTAGATCTCCTTACTATCGGCTTGCTTTAAGTTAACGAGTAGTCGATAGTGCTAGCTGCATTAGAGGGCCGTTTACTCGCGCGTACTATATTAGGAACGCAGGCTCGTATTGCGGCTACGGACTTACTCGATTAGCGCTATTTAGACTATTGTTATCGTGCTAATATCCGAACCCCGCTAGGTTTCGAGTTAGACTATTCGGAAACAGGGTGTCCGTATCGTACATTATTAATACCCGCTAGCCATTTAAGCTAAAACCGCGATAACGCCTAAACATCGTAAAGGCAACTCGCGTTGTCTAATTCGGAAGGCCTTAGATGCCTACCTCTCTAAGGTCGAAGCGATAGGCAGTATATCTATTTCTATTCGGCCCTATTCGTACCTATACGACTAACTATGCTATAGTCGCAGGGCCGCTATTGTTTAGTAGTTCGTACTACTTCGTAGCAAAATAGACCGCACCTAAGGAAGCTCTACCTACGCCGTTCCGGACTAGGCCGATACTAATACCCTTCGAATATCAGTTTCCGTACGGAGACATCGACGACTGTAGGCACTTACTATCCCCGAACTGCTACGAAGTAGACTATAATCCGCTTCGAAATAATTAAGTTAGGACTGTAGGTCCCGGTTCTGCTGTATATTATTAGACATTTCGTCGGCGTTGCTCGAGTATTGTATGCGGTTTAGTAATTAATAATTGTTGTTAGAGAAGGGAAGAAGGATTGCTATCGACTAATTAAGGTTAGTTATTAAAGGAGTAAGGAAGGATTGCCGTTAACTAAAGTTAATATAAGTAGTAACTAGCTACTTACCGGAGCTCCTGCCTTGTCGCCTAGAAAGCGTACGCAGTTAATAGACGAAGTTACGCGGCATATAACGGTTTAAGTTATGCTAGTAGTAACATTTCCGCTATTATATACTGTCTCTAGAAGCAGGCGCTAGTTGCTACCTACTATCCGTATAGAAAAGCAGGTATCTAACGCTAGTACTAAGCCCTCGGTTGAACTTATCGACAATAATAACAACCTCCGGAATACAGCTATCTTCTCGACAACTTAAACACATATCTAAGCCGATCCGAACACTCTATTATAGCTTCTACCTACTTCGACGTCGACGGAGGTATAGTGCGATATTAAGACTAGCAGGTATAGATCTAAGAAAGCTAAGAATCGATAGATACTAACTATACGCTTTAGGTCTCGTATATTAAAGTTAGTAAGGTCGTTTATACCGATAGATCGATAGCTCTACTCGCGATCGGTCGCAAGGAATAGCGTACGGATAAAACGAATAAGCAGCATACCGCTAAACTATAGACCTTTATCGTTATCGAATTCGATCGATACGATATTAAGTAGAGCGAGCTATAGTAGGACCTTCGCGGCCTCTAAGACTCGAACGTGTTCATTATATACGAATAGAAGGACCTAAGCGGTATTATAAACCTGCCTCGTAGCCTAATCGAAAGCAAGAAGATTAGAATAGCTATATAGCGTAAGGAGGGTGTAGGATCGCTAATGTATCCTAAATTCTATAGGATTCGCTAGTTTAAGAGATATAACGATCTTATATCTATATAACGGATCCGCAAATTAGAGGAAGACTATACTGTTATCGGCTTTAGTAGCAGCGCGAAGCTAGTAATATATAGCTAGTGCCGCAATGCCTACGATAGTAAGCTGCAGCCGACGTTAGTCCGCGAGCGTAGATTCGAGCCTATAATAGCGTAGCCGTAGTTCTAGCGAATATTCGGCTAGTAGAAGGAGAATGCGAGCGAGGATCGACGTTAATTAAGTATATAGCCTTATTAATGTTATAAGGTGATTTCCTTCGAACAGTAGCGTATAAGGAGACTAATATAATACTAAGTCTACTGCTCTATATTTGCCGTTCTATACGAGATCGCAATGCTATAGCTGCTATAGTAGTAATAATATGCCGCTAATATGCTTTCTAACATTATCTATAAGCTCGTAGCTTAATCTTTATCGGATGCCGCTATTGCGCTACCTAATCTCTGCTAAGAGGTCTACGATTGAATGCGGTTAACTACCGAGCAACGTAGAAGTCTAGCTACCGAGCAAAGTAGGAGTTTAGCTATTAAGCACCGTAGAAGTCTAGCTATCGAGCAGAGCAGAAGTTAGGCATTAAACGTAGAAGTCGAGCATCACTGCTTCTAGGGTTAATAAAAGTTGCTAAAAGTTCTCGATATCGTCGAGTAAACTCTATAATACACTGCCGCCGGGCTTGCTAAAAGTTGCTAAGTCTTAATAAAAGTTGCTAAATATTCTCGAGTCGCTATTTAGAACTAACAAGTTTAAAGCTCTAGTATATTGCCGGGTAGGGAAGATAGTCTACGAAGACAGTTATTGTCGAACGAGGCCTTGCCGTAAAGGTAGGCCATCAATTGCTAGAAGCCTAGGGGCCTAGCGGATCATAATTCGATGTTTATCTAGTTGCTAGAAGCTTACTATATTAGTCTGCCGGATTATAGTACGGTGTAGGTTGCTAGGAGGCGACCTTTGCGGTCGGTAGATTGAAATATAGTCTATCTAATTATAATACGGTGCTTATTAAGACCCTTCTCGCCTAGCTTACGGCCCTTCTCTTTATTAAGGCTAACGGTAAGACGCAGCTCGCGCGCTCGGTCTTAGTATATATATATATATCCGCTTAGGCGTATTATACTAATCCTATTACAATAGCTTGTCTATGCTAGACGTAATCTTTCCGCTAGCCCTTAGCAACTTTCGGCAACTTTTAGCAACTTTTATATACTCTAGGCACTTAGTAGAGTCGTTCTGTTTAGCGCGCGTATATCGAGCGGCGTATATACTAAGTAGGTAAGAGGGTAAGCCCGGCTTCGCGGCGATACAGCATACACTATATTCTTATAGCCTTTTGTCTCTTAGCAGCTTTAGGGGCATATATATAGGAGCCTAGGGAGGTATAGTAACTAGCGGGTACGGCCGGAGAATAGCTTAGCGTAGAGTACTTTCGTATATTGCCGTGTCCTGCCTATAAAGGATTAGCGTATGCTTTATTTCGAGCGGCGGAAGATTGAAGTACGTTCTAGGCTTCTATAATACTATTCCGGGTATTTTAGGCAACTGCTAGGCACTTCGTATAGTAAATGCTAGGAAAAGTAGGGCCTTGCTATTGTTAATTAGCTGTCTATATAAAGTTTCTATATCTCTTAGGAACTTTTACTAACTTTCGGCTAATAAGAACGCGCGGATTGAAGCAGCCGGAGTAGACTAAGCATCAACCCTCCTAGTCCGCTCCTATAATAATAGGGCGAGCGAACGAGCTATTACTTTACTTGCCCTACATTTCCCTAGTAGTAAGCTTTAGATACTATTATTAGTTAGTTTTACGTTGCTCTTTAGTAGGACAATAGAACTCACTCCGCTCTTAGTCTTATAGGTATATATCTTAGATGTCTCTCTCTCGTTTCCTTCCTTTCTTCTTCTTCTACTAGATATCGTATACACCCTCTTACTATCGCCTATAACGTTACCTTAAATATAAGAACTACGTTAACAGTATAGAAAGTAACAAAATGCCGGGTCCTTTCTTTGCTCTAGCCGCTCGCGGCTACCCTCTCTTCGGCGTAGATATATATATTGCTTACTAGCTTCGAAGGTGTTAAGAGGCCGAGATAGTGCTAATAGGTATATAGGAGGATCGAGCTATAGTATACGCTACTCGGCGCGTTCGTCGCGCTATCCGCCGCCGCCGCCTCGTCGCTACTCGTCTACGTATATAGCAGCAGCAGCATTAACAGAAGTATACTAATCTTAGTCTTTAGCGTATTAGTAAGAGCGTATACTAATATGTCTAAGCGGCCCTTTCTTTGCGACCTTTTAGGGTATAGTAACGTACGTATCTTTGTCTATCGATCTCCGAGAATAATACTAATATATATAATAGCTATTAGCCTCCGCTAGCGCTAGTACTAGCTCTAGTACCTACTCCTACTCTAGCACCTACTCCTACTCCTACTCTAGCTCTAGCTCTAGTTCTAGTTCTAGCTCTAGCTCTAGCTCTAGTACCCGCTTCTACTCCTACTCTACTAGTTGCGCCGTAAGACGGCAAGTAAGTGTCTTAAAGCTCTAGTCGTCGGTAGTGTTAGTATACTAACTATATTATAGCGACGACGATATCAACTTCGGCCCTATTAGCGACGAGTAAGTTATTGCTTCGCACTGCTTACTATTATAGCAGATACTAACTATGCTATAGTAACGACTACAATCCTGCTACCGCTAGTAGCGACGATAACGAAGAGTAAGTAACTAATTCCTATTATACTATCGTAGAAGTGTAATTGCTAACTATGCTATAGCGAGAATAAACCCTTTACTAGCCCTACTACCGCTACGTTTGCGCCGCCTCCTACTACCGCCGTTCCTTTCTTCGCTCCGCCGGCCGCCGCACTAATAATAGGCGGGCAGGTTAGCAATATACCGCCTATCCCGGCTGGAGGTGCTATCGTGCCTCGCCCTTAGCCTGCTAGACCGCCGATTCTAGGCACGACGCCTAAGCCTACTTAGGCAATAGGACATTAGTAGTCTCTAGGCACTATCGACTGTAAGTTATATTAATCGAGCAAGCGATAGAACTAAGAGTTAACATATTTGTAGCCGCCTATACTAATCGCTTCCCGTAGCTATACTACGTTGTCCGTATTATAGAGACGACGTTAGGCCGTCGCTTTGCTCGCCCGTACGATACCTGCCGTCGCGACGGCTTCGAATGCTAGGGTTATTTAGAGGGCATTAAGGCCTTTATTAAGAAGCCTAGCCGTAGTTGTGCTCGCTATCGTCTCCGCAAGGTATAGCATTCTAGTCTTGTCTTCTTATACTAATATTAAGATATAAAGCTAACATTGTTTTAGATCCCTTACTCTTACCGCGACGAGGAGCCTAGGCTCGAGCTTAAGAGCCTAGCTCTAAAGCTAGATAGTTTCGGCGATGGCTTCGGTAGCGGCTATAGTAGTAGCAAGGATAGTAGGATAGGTAGTAGTACTTACGGTAGCCTCGCTGCCTGCTAATTCTTTTGCTTGTTCGCGTAGTAAGACCTAAAATATAGCAGTAAGTCGCACGATGCTTACTAAAGGTGTTCGGTGTTTAGCGTTTAGGCATAGCAGCTAGTCTGCTTCTTTGTTTGTTTCTTTGCTTTGCTGTTGCTGTTTGCTAGCCTTCGGGCATAATAGGCTATGTTCTTTACTTTGTTTTTATACTCTTAGCGGGTCTTCTATTTAGCGTTTAGGTATAGCAGTTCTGCTACTATAAATAAAGTCTCTTCTCGCTCTGCTAATCCTACTACTGTATTAATATTCTAGTGTCCTTGTTCCTCAACTTGCTAGCGTACTAATAGGCACTCTATAGGTCTATAGTAGAAGTCCTTCTCGGATTGCTATAGTATACCGGTAGCGTCTTTATTTATAGATTAATAGAGGGAAACGAATAATAGAGGCACTATTAAATAGAGTCGATTAAGCTACTTTCCGCTAACACAAGCTAGCAAAAGTGCTTAACACGATAGCGACGGCTCCTAGTAATAGGGGGGGGGGGTCTTAACGGCTTCGTTGTAACTATTCTTAAGGGTTGGCACTAATAATGTAGCCTAGCTCGGCGTTATTATCGACGTTTGACTTAGCGACCTCTATTATATTTAAGAGTGCGCCGGGCTAAGTATAGCTCTTCCTATCGCCGTCGATGCTGCTATAGGACAGACTAGCTTATTAATAGGCGACACTAGACGGTTGCTGCGTTAATTGATCGGTTAATCTACTAAAGCTTTAACGAGCTATTAGGCAAAAGCACTATTAGATTTTAACTAGAAAGCGATAGCATATACGAGATTTCTAGTAGAAGGTAGCAATAGTATTTAGATTCGATTAAAACCCGACAGCGAGCACTAGATTTCCGCTACAAACAGGCGGTAATAGTTAAATTTTAGTTTCTAATCTAGCGGTAGTGTTAAGTTTCGACTATAAACTATCGGTAATGTCTGCGATTCTGCTTTCGAAATGGCTGTAATAATGCGATTCGGCATCCGAGCTAGCGGTATGTATAAGATTCTACTTCTAGGCTAGCGGTATATATAAGATTCTGCTTCTAGGCTAGCGGTATATGTAAGATTCTACTTCCAGGCTAGCGGTATATATAAGATTCTGCTTCTAGGCTGGCGGTATATGTAAGATTCTGCTTCTAGGCTAGCGGTAATGTCTGAGATTCGGCATTAGACCTAGCCGTAATCCTAATGTTCTGACTCCGGACTAGCGGCAATGTCTAAGATTCTGCTTCTAGGCTAGCGGTATTGCTAGTATTCTGCTGCAGTTTAGCTTTCGTCTCTACTAAAAAGTTGCAAATATTAACATTAGAACAATCGCTAGATGTAGTCTTCTTAAGAGACACATACGCCCCTCGCATCCTCGTTAATGTTCTTACAGAGGCAAGGATCGCCTTAAATAGCGCTAAAGGTAGGTATAGCAACCTCGCTAAATTCTTCCTTCTCGGCAACTAGTATAGCTAGTATCTCTCGAATTTAGTGTCTATAGAATTAGGCTCTTCGATGTATCTCGTTCGGCCGATACTAACTATATCGAGCATACCTACTTCCGCCGACAACCGAAGGAACAATACGCTGCTACTTGCTATAGCGAGATGTTATATAACGACCGGCAGTTTAAATAAACAATATCTACATTCTCGATAGCTGTTTTAACATAAATATGCTATAACGACCGTATTCCGTGCTACTACTTTTCTTCTATCGTACCGACAATTTCTAGAAATGTAGTTAGCTATTAGTCGTGCTACCGGCGGAGGCATCGCCGCGACCTATAATAACGATTTGCTATACTAAAGATCAAACCGGACTGCCTAATGTCGATAAATCGTTAATCTCGGAATTATTAGCTAGGTATAGCCTAGTCGCCGTAGCTAGTATGCTTTCCTATCTCGAGTATATCCGCTTCTTCGTAGCCCTTCTCGTAGTCCTTCTCGTAGTCCTTATACTCGAAGATATACGCTATAAAGCGCTTAACGATATTATATTCTTCGTCGTCTTCTAGTAAAGATATATACTATAAAGCGCTTAATAGGCTTAGAATCGACGAAGTTAGTAAGTTATTGAGATGCAGCCTATCTTTTAGCGGTATTACTATATAGTGTCTATATAAGGACACTTTGCGACTACGGCGTCTAGATACACGATCTCGCCCTATACTAATTTCTAGCATCTTTTAGCATCTTTTAGCATCTTCTACTTAGTATCTCTCGGCGTCCCTTAGTCCGAGTAGTACTATCTATTCGCGGCTTTTTAATACTTCCGTATCGAGCTCGATTCGCGCGTTCGTATAAAAGTAACCTATAGTACCTCGTTGTTCGTCTTAAATATCGTAGTAGTATTGCAATATCGCGTCTCCTCGCGTTTAGCGTATAACGTCGGCAGGCCGGAAGATAGTCGACCTCGGATGTTCTAACGATTAGCTAAAAGTTGCTAAAAGTTGCTAAAAGTTCTAATCGGACATAAACTTCCGTTAGTATATACGTACAAGGCTGTAGAGGTTATTAGTATTAGCCGTAATATTCCTACCTATAATCGTAGTAGATCTAGTACTCGAGTATATACTCGGCAATCTCGAGAACATTTAGCAATCTTTAGCAACTCGGCGATAGTAGATCTTGTATTCGAACAGCTCCTCGAGTATATACTCGGCAAGGGTAAGAATATTTAGAAACTTTTATTAACTTTTAGCAACCCCGGCGGCAGTAGATCTTACATTCGAACAGCTCCTCGAGTATATACTCGGTAAGGGTGAGAACATTTAGAAACTTTTATTAACTTTTAGTAACCCCGGCGGCAGTAGATCTTATATTTAAACAGCTCCTTAAGCATATGCTCGGCAAGTCTAAGAATTTTTAGTAACTTTTATTAACTTTTAGCAACCCTAGCGGCAGTAGATCTTACAAGGTTTGATATAGTCTCTAGTTTATAATCTCGCCTATTAATCGCTTCCTCTAAGATAGTACGCTCGGCTCCTAAGAATACCTCGTCGTTGCTATCGGTAAGTACGTTAAGAGGCTCGCTCTGCTGTAGCTACTCCTACTAGCCGTAGTAATCTCGCTATCGGTATACTGAGAAAGCTATACTTTAAGTAGAAGGAGCTTGCTCTTGCCTTCGGAAGTATAGTATAGTGTAGTGCGATAATGCATAGCCGTTGTCGGTACCTAGATATTCGTTATACGATATAGCGTAAAACCTTACCTACGCCGTTATATATAGCAATTCGCTTTCTAACTACTACTTCTTCTTCTTCTTTATATTAATACTAACTGTATACCGGTATCCGCATTGCGTAACTAGCGATAGTATATACTAACAACACTACTACCTATATACCGGTATCCGCCTCGCGCGTAACTAGCGATAGTGTCTATTCCTCCTTTATCGTATATAGGTAGCTCTACAGCGATTAACACCGGATTCCTTGCTAGTTCTACGACTTGCTATCGCTAGAGCCGCTTAGTAAGATAGTTAGAGATAAGTAGTCGGATCTAAGCGAGCTATTATAGCGGTATACATATACTACTAGCGAGGAGCGAGGATTAGGGAGTAATACCGATATAGTAGCGCACATACTGCTAGCGAGGATCTCCTAACTGCGGCGATAACTAGTAGACTCCGATAGGCGCCGACTGCGCACTCGACGTAGCAAACACTACTAATAAGGCCTAACGAGGGTTGTTTAGTTTAAGCGCAGTGCAAACTACAGAGGTCTCTAATAGGCTTAGCTAAGGTAAAAACTCTTTAGTAAGTTATACCGATAAAGCATCGGCTAAGGTAAAAACTCTTTAATAAGGTATACCGACGCCCTCTCTCCTAATAAGTAGATAGGTTCGTAGCATTACTATTAGGTAATTCCTTAGTAGATAGTCTTCTTGTCTATTGCTATAAGGGCTTCCTACGTTAGGCTCTTCTCTAGATACTAAACGCATATCTAGTTGAGCTTGCGTAATTGTATAGGTTGTTCTCGAATCCCGATTTAGTTCGAATTCAGACTCCTAACAGCTATAATCGTCTTAATCTTCTACTCGGTAATAGGAGCGTACGATATCGGATATAGCGCTCTAGGAAGCGAGTGCGCGGTAGCTAATTTCGGCTGCGACCGTATAAGGGTTTAGCTATACTGTAGTTCCGCGGTACGAATAGGCGTCCTTAGGCAAGACGTCTCTATAGGGGCATTAAGACCGAGCGCATTAAGACTGCTTCATACCTACAGTACGCACCCTCCCCGAACCGAGCGTATTAAGACTGCTTTACACCTATAGTACGCACCCTCCCCGAACCGAGCGCATTAAGACTGCTTTATACCTATAGTGCGTACCCTCGACAAAAATATACCTTATATCTTTTAATATCTTCAGGCGCGGTTCAACCTTTGTTCTCTATATAGCATCGGTTAGTACCTAGCATCTAACTCTTTAAGTTCGCTAGTATATACGTACGTGTTTTATACGCTTGTAATAAGTACCCGTTCTATATACCTTGTCCTAGTCCTTCGGGTCCTTTAGTTATGCGTACTATAGTTAGTAATAGAATGCGTTAAGGACTTTTTATAATAACGGCTTGCTTCGGCTCGCTTAAGTATAAGTCTATAGGCAATGTGTGCTTCTAGTGTATACTTCGTAGTGTATGCTTCTATAGCCGCTTAGTAGCCGCTAAGCATCGGTTAGTACCTAGCATCTAACTCTTTAAGTTCGCTAGTATATACGTACGTGTTTTATACGCTTGTAATAAGTACCCGTTCTATATACCTTGTCCTAGTCCTTCGGGTCCTTTAGTTATGCGTACTATAGTTGGTAATAGAATGCGTTAAGGACTTTTTATAATAACGGCTTGCTTCGGCTCGCTTAAGTATAAGTCTATAGGCAATGTGTGCTTCTAGTGTATACTTCGTAGTGTATGCTTCTATAGCCGCTTAGTAGCCGCTAGGAAATCAGATCCCCGGACGCCACTATTCGTTTTCTCTGCCTTCTATAGCAACCAAGTCCTTCTAGTAGATCGTAACTTAGGGAGAGTCTAAGCAATAGGAGGGTATTAACGTAAGAGGCCGCTAGGTTCTCGAATGTATATTATTACTCTACGTATCTATCCTTGCCGTACATATTGTAGTGCTAATAGCTGCGGTGCAATAAGTATAGTTCTAGTTTTAGTGTTATTATTAGACTTCGAGGAGATGCTTAGGCTCGGAGGCGGTTCTTCGGTATGCCTAAGGACGCTATCGTTATCGTATTAGACACTTTTGTTAGCGCCTTTTGCTAGAAATGCGCCTAATCGACGTATCTCGCTAGATTAGATGTTGTGCTATTATAAAAGTCGAATACCGCGAGAGTCGTAAAGCTAGTATTATAATACGCGGAGGGAAGGATTCGCGATATTTAATCCCGCCAATTAAGGGCTCTATTATAGTAAATCCGGGGTCTTAGCGGGATCGGCATCCTTGTCCTTTCCTCTTTCGTATTACTAACATTCAAAACGACTAAGTCTAATCTACTGTTTCTACGCCTCTAGGTATTATCCGCGCGCCTTAATTCTACCGAATTTACGATAAGGATAGCTCTTGAAATGATTAGGGAATCATTTAGAGAGTATAAGCGACGACATTCTAACCTATGTTACCTAGCGACACTATTAGAGAACATTATAAGCAGGAGAATGGAGAGTCTATATAACAAGAGATAGAAGATAAAAGCATATTATAGGGAGGTAGAGATAGCAGTATCATTTCAAATCAAGAATCTATATACTTATAGTTGCCGACTCTACGGTATCGATAGCGGCCGCACTTCTTATTGCTAGCACTACTATTATATGCCGTCTTACCCTCCTTAGTATATATACGACAAGTATAGCCTAGACGGGCACAGCGCTTGCAAGTAGGCATACGTAGCTCTCTACTATCTGTCTCTTCGATGCGGCCGATATACGTTAATCTAATCTGCGTCTCGTTTAAGCTCTATACCTACAGCTTTATAGATTTAGAATAGTAGGCATTTTCAGCCTCTAGGCAGCGTAGCGCAATGCGTAGGCCACTTAGACCCTTCTTCTTCTTCTTCGGAGCCTAAGTTAGTAGTACTAGAGCTAGAGTAGGTACTAGCGGTAGTAGTACCCTAGTTATAGTTGCTAAAGACGAAGCTAGAGGCGGAGGCGGAGGCGGAGGCAGAGAGACAAGAGGCAGACCTTAGCGAGAGCGATCTTACTAGCGACGTACCTACGTACTTAGACTAGAGCGGCGAGATAGTGCTACTAGAGCTAGTAGCGCTACACTAACGACGCTGAGATACATTAGCTGCTGCTTAAATAAAGCGAAGCTCGAAGGCTCGAAAACATATAAGTCTAGTGCGTTAATATCCTAAACCGAGAAGTCCTGCTGCTACTACTACTACTACTACTATTGTAGTAGAAGCGCCTACGCCTTAGAAGATAGGAAGTCGATCGCAAAGTCCGTAATATTATTAAATTCTTAGTTAGATATAGTAGCGGCAGCGACGGCGAGGTATTAAAGGCAAGGATAATGTCTATATCGCTAAAGAAGAAAGGAAGAGAAGAAGCAGAATACGCGAAAGTATTATTTCTGCTACTATTATTATGCCCGACAATGCGAAGTCTATCGGATCTTACCTCGTACTATTATTATTAACAACCCGGCTTTACTTTAGCTATTATCTAATAGCTTAGCATTCTCAGTAACGGGCATAAGCGCTAGCTAGCAACGCAACTACGCCTAAAAGTTCGCAACTACGCCTAAAACTCCGCGACTAGTACCTCCCTCTTATAGCAAGCACGGCCCGCCTAGATCTTATTAGAGGCATAAAGTAGCAGAGCTATCCGAGCAATAGCTATATACCTAGCTTAAAGCCGGACCGGTTAAATTCGTACACATACTACGTAAGATTCTTAGTAGCAGTTAGCAAAAGCACGCTCGATCGAAATGTTCTACGAGGCCTGTCTCTAGCGACTATATACTAGCTATATATATATCGAACTATATGTCTTGCTTCCTAAGGCAAGACTATAGGGTTAGTTGCTGTTCCTACTAAAGAGCCGCTATTATATTGTACGATCTCGCATCTACTCCTCTTATAGTAAGGCGTTTTAGGGAATAGCGTAAAGTCGGCTACTAGGTACTGTTCGTCTAGTCGCTATATAGAAGCTCCTATTCGAGATGAGATACTAGCATTGCTATATAGTATATAGAACCCCGTACTAGAAGGGATTGCCGCATCTGTCGTACGGAAGATAGCCGCTCGCGGAGTAGAAGGTAGCTTTTATACTAGCATTAGTATAGAGCATCTAGTATCGCGTACGACTTGTAAATTTCGACGTTTAAGCTCTTTAACGGTAAGACAGAGGTCGGCATCTTACTAGTAACTATTATTCTCGTAGGCTTCCGCCTCTAGTTGCGCGTCCTTAGCATATAAGGCTAGTCCGAGATCTGATTTCCGATAAAATTAATAGTAGCGCTATCCTATACTATAATAGATTGCTCTTAAACCTATATTTAATCGACCTCTTTAAGGGCAGCACCTTATTCTATTAATAGAGCAACGTTCTAAAAGTTGCTAAAAGTTGCTAAAAGTTACTAAAAGTTACAGTTAGAGAACGTTAAACAGAGTATAGATTAGCGCGATACCTCATTCCGTCGATAGAGCAACGTTCTAGAAGTTACTAAAAGTTGCTAAAAGTTGCTAAAAGTTGAATAGATTAGGGCGATAACTTACTCGCTATAGATTAGTAAAAGCGCCTCGGTAGTTCGGCGAAGAAACTATTTAGCAGGCGTTAAACAGGTACGTGTTCGATACGTTACTATAGGCTAATTATAAAGGGAAAGCTGTTTAGGCTAAGTTTCGAATATTAGGCTAGAAGAAGGTTTGTAATATACGACAAGTTTAAGCGCCTATATCTCTTATTTATCGATACCGGTCTCGACCCCGTTATTAGCACCCTTTATCGCAGTATACTTTCCTGTCTCTTTCTGCCTACGTCGCCGGGTAGTCCTGTCCGTAGGAGGAATCTTTGCTTTTGCTCTACGCCGTAGCGCCTTCTTTACGCTAGGCTGTTTCCTAGAGTCCTTAAGCAAGTCGACCTTCTGCTTCTTAGAGGCCGTTTGCTCTAGGTTCTCTTACGAAGGCCTTTTGTACTGTTGCTAATTCAACTAGTTGTCTAGAGCGGCCTAGACATTAAGCTTTAGTAGCGTAGAATATAGAGCTAGAGGAGGATTTATCTAGCCTTTCGGGGTACTCGGCAGGTTAGAGGGAGGCTTTCTTATTAGCGGCGAAGGCAATGTCTCGGGTACGTCGATCCTATTACTGCCTTCTATACGCGAATCTATATTGTTCCTAGTAGCTCTATCTAGGCGTAATGTCTGCTAAGCAGCCTCTGTATCGCCTTAAGACCTCGGTATAGGGCTATTATCAATTAAGATAGCGTCCTTTAGGTCCGCCTTTACGGCAATTCTAAATGTCTATAAGCTAGTCTCCTTTGGCCGTTCTTTGTAAGGCATTGCCTATACTCTTAATTTATACTGCTCGAGAGGTTCTGTCTTGATCGGCGTAGTAAAGTCCGGTTAGTCCTTAATAGTATTAATAGCGTTAGCGGCGGCATCGTCCTAGGCCTAGCTAGAGTTATTAAGGTCTAGCGTTTCTTACCGCCTCGATATTTCTTACTATATAGCACGTTTAAGACGGCACTCCTTCTTCTTTGCCTTAGCGGCCTCGTACAATCGCCTAGACCTCGCGTCTAAGCTAAGTATATAGATATAGAGCATCTAGTAGCTATCTAACTTCTTAAAGGTAACGATCTATAACTCTAGGGGAAGTATACTATCGACTACGAGCTCGCGCGGTTTATTATTAGATTTGCCGATAGAACTAATAAAGAAGTGCCGATAGTAATCGTTAACCTCGGTTTCTGGATTGCATTCGTGCTTGTTAAGAATATAATGCATAAGATCGCCGCTAGAAAATGTATATACGTTATCGAGAAGTAGCCCGACTTGCTTATTATATAGCTGCTAAGGTTAGCTATCTACGTAATCGAGTACGCCCTCCTCGTCTACTACTATAGAGCTATAAGTTACTTTAAAGATAGCACGGTATACCTTAGGCGCTGCTAGCTGACTTGCTTCCCTACTTGCGGCCGACGCCTGCCTAGCCTAATACGCTCGGAAAGTAGGAGTTCGCGAGAGCCCCTAGTTCGGAGTGTATACTTGCAGTGCTAGTAGTCTTATAGTAGAACCCCGCCCGAGGGTACTCTCTCTAGTAGGTATACCTACCTAGTCGTAATTCCGTATAGTATAGGCATTCTTCTTATTTAAATGCCTTTTCTGCCGTTAGGGTTCTGCCTTGTTAACGATAGAATAGGTAAAGCGCGGGACGGGCTATAGTCGAGACGGTACGCGAGACGAAGATAAAGCTACTAATATAGAGACGACTAACGCTGCCCGACTCTGCTACTACTACGATCGAGGGGCTAGAGATAACGATCGGACGATATAGGTATTATTACTAGACATAGAAGATTGCCGGTTTAGTGTTAGAATACCTGCTATAGATAGACTAGTTTGCCGTAATAGCGATCGCCGTAATAGCGTTTGCCGTAATATTAACTGCCGTAATGTCGACTGCCGCATTATAGCTCTAAAAGTCTCGTATAGAGTCTTCGGGTTCTAGAAACCGCAAAAGTGGCATCTAGGCTTAAGGCGGTTAGCCTACTCTTCTTCGTGTATAAAGCCCGCTACGCTATAGACTTCATTCTCGAGCTAGTACTCTTGTTTATCGAAACGCGTTAGCTCCGATAATTGTTACGGCCTTCGTTAAGACATCGTAGTTAACTACTCTATCGCCTTAACCGATATATAATAAGCAGTAGAGTAAGAGGGAAACGGAGATCTGTTAGGTTCATCTAACTATCTACGTATAGGGAGAGAAAGGGGGTTTATCGCGGCTCGCTTACGCGATTAGGAGGTCCTTGCTACTAGCGGTGCTGCGTCTTCGCTAACTTAGGTAATAGGGTGTATATAGGGAGCCTCGAGTACGGTAAGAAGGTTAGTAGGAAAGAGCGTTAACGAAGGATCGAGAGGAAATTGTGTTCGACATACTAGCGGTACTACTAGTAATAAACGATAGCAGCTACTAAGTCAAGCTCGAGAACTTTGCCGGAATAAGCGCTAGCTGCTAATTCTTAGGTTAGGTTAATTAGGCTCGTCTACGAATCAAAAGCGTAGCTAGAATGCGGCCTATCTTAACTGTCGCTATTATCTCCCTAATTCTTATCGTCGGCACTTCTATAACCTAGGTTACTACTAGAGTTATTGTAGTACAGACCGTCTAAGAGGTCCGCTAAGGGCTAGTCTTCGGGTTGAACGCGCCTAGTATACCTTGTCTTATTAGCCGCAGTAAAGACTATATCGTTATCGCGGTTTAGACGCTAGTGCCTAGCGTGCCTTAGTAGCTCCGACTTAGGTAGATCTTAGCCGCTCTAGAACAAGGAATGTAGTGCTTTACGCAAACGCATGTAAGCCTGTACGTAAAGCTGCTAGTGTTCGAAATCCACCTCGCCGCCCTATAATAGTATTATAAAACCTTGCTCCGCGAGCATCGTTGTATATATATACAATATAGCTTCGGGTAGGTACTTATCTAGGTTAAAGCCTTCGAGATCCGCTTTTATATTAACTAGAAGCTTAGGTAGTACTTGAACGCCGAACTGCTCTACGCCGAACCTATATAGATGCCTATCGAGGAGGACCGGAATACTAGAGAGCACGTTCTCGCCTTAAGCTCTAATCTTGTAATAGTTCTATAAATAACAGAATTCGTCTATTACGCTCCTTATAATCGGCATATATACGAAGAGCATAGCGATCCGGTCGTGCTTGTTATTAGATAGAAATGCCCCTTATAGATAGAGCGTAAGGAAGAGTTTGCGGAGACTAAAGAGAGCCTTAGCCGACTAGCCCTAGATAGTCTTAATCCTCTGATTTATACGGCTTGTACTATAGCGCACTATTTCGCTAAAAGTTAGTTCTATTAGCGCGATATCCTCCGCGGCCTCTTTATTATACTCGCTATTAAGAGTGCGGCGGATCGTAATATAGGCGTTAGCAGCTATAGTAGTCTCTAGTCTACGGTCGGATTGTAGGATTAGCGGAGCATATCCGAGCGTTTTAATAATCGAAATATATTAGGCTATAACTAAGACTATAGTGCGAGCAGTAATGCTAACGTACATCTATTTAATTATTCGTAAGAACGTATTAACTACGCCGTAGATTTAGAAACCCTAGAGTTCGAAGGAGCAGTATATATCTATAGACTAGGAATAGTTCGGTCCTAGAGACGGCTAGCTAGCCCTAGATTTAAGGCATTAGCTACGTAGACTAGTGGATTTGTACTATATATACTATTGGCGTCTTATACTCCGACGCCGCCTCTCGATACCTGCTAGGTTAATGTCTCTAAGCACTCTATAGATGCGATTACGGCCGACAATATTGTAACTCTAGCGCAGGTACTAGTAGAGATTTCGTCGTCCGTAGTTGTTAATTCTCTTACGTTGTAGCTCGGCCTATAGAATATCGTAGATGCCGAGCAGGTATTCCTATTCTGTACTCTTAGGGATTTGTTTATAAAGCTAAAGAGACCTCCTAATGTCGCGAAGCCGTCGGAGCCTAATATTAATACCGTCGTCTTAAAGATATCCTTAAGCTTCAGTATCGGATATCTACGTATAGTAGAAATAGAACTTAATACGTTCCTCGAGGATTGCGATATCGTATATATAGTAATTCGATGCTCGGTTCGGAGAGGTTACGCCCTATGTTTTTAGACGTAATCTGAATTAAGAAAGCCTAATACGTGTTTCGAAATTGTCGTAAAGTGTATTAATAATATCCTAATACGTCGCGCTACGGTCTATCCGAGTTTCTATCTAGGCTCTAGCGAAGTCAATATTAATAGGGTAGCGACTAACTATTATAAACGAGTATTCGCGTAAGCTTCGAAGAGAGTGTCGAAGAGAGCTTAGTAATAACTAAATGCAACTTGTCTACACTAATGCTGCCTGCTCTATACCGCGCTTAGGATCTAGATTAGCGAGTTAGCGGACTACTAAGAAAGTAATTCTATTTAGTATAGCGTATAGCGCCTAGTAATCTCAAAGTATACTCTAACGTGCGTAATCTTGTTATATAGTTAGGGCGAAGGCGCGAAAGGCTTGTGTCCCTAGCCGAAGGCTGTCTGCTATAGGATTAATCTACTAGCGATAGGCGGCGGTACTGCGCCGTTAGCGGGTTATAGCTAGATTAGCAAGGGGTAATAGAATCCAGGTATTAAGAAGCGTAATAGTTACTATGCTCGTATTGCCTCGCAAGCGTTCTTTATTATATTTCTAAAGCCCGGCTAGGCTTTACTATACTAATGCTTATTACTAAGTCACTTACTTAGCATGCTACCCGATCTTGATTCTCTATATTATAACTACCGCGATAAACCCGAAATTGAGTATTGCGGTACTCCTCCTATATCCCCGGATAGTACTTAGTATTGCGTAATCGACCTTTGTAGTCTATTCCGCTCGAAATCGTACGTCTTATCGGACAGCTCGTATCTATAGTATTAACAAGCTGCTAGGCACATCGAAGGCTTATAGCTACTAGAGAGTAGACAGAATAAGCATATTAATGTCCTACTACGCTAACTTAGCTAGGGGTTAAACGTCGTATACCGACCTTGCCGTACCCTATCTTACGATCCCTCTAAGTCTAACTCGTACGGTATATTAGCGTTCTTCTCTCGATAGCGGCTAACACACCGGTAGTAACGTCGAGTATCTCGGTTTCCGCTCGGTTAAGATTATACGCGATATAGTTGCGGATAGTAAATATATTACAGTCGTCCTATACCGGCGCGGCTTTCGAATCTATCGTTTTGCGACAATACTAGGATTAGTATCTCGCGGCTCCGACCCTCTAAGCACCGTTATAGCGATACGTAGGAGGAGGATATTAAGTGTTACTAATACAGATCTAAGCGTCGCCGAGAGGGTGAAACTCCGTAGACATCCTAGCAAAAGCATTCGAGGACTACGCTTAAGAAAACAGTAGGGCTGATTTCCTCTACGCTCCGAGCAACGAGACTAAAAACTCCGACGTACGCTAGCAGTATATTATATCTTCTTATCGTAATCTATAGCTAAAACCAGTTTCTCCTTTAGCAGTATAAGCAATAGGCCCTCGGGCTATTACTAATGCGATAGCGCTAAATATATCCGTAATCGCTTATCGATACGGCTTAAAGACTAGCCGAGCGGGCGTAGAACTGCCGTTATTGCGAGGTATCGATTCGAGTTGTAGTAATAGACTTACTTAGTATTAGACTTTATAAGAAGTGTTGCGCTAAGGCGAGATAGGGGTTCGAGAACTTTTATTAACTTTTAGCTAATTAGAGCGCTTCGCTTCTGCTTTGAAAACACGGCAAGGACTTGCATATATAGAACAAGTCGTAAAGCTAATTAGATACTGCTATACTTAGTTACAGGCACGACGTTCCGCTAAAGACTATACATTCGGCGCTTCCCTTCGACGCGACTATAACTACGAACAAGCCTTAACAAAGCCCGCTATTAGATTTAAGAAGCATAGATTTTAGCTAGGTATAAAGTAGATACTATATCTAGTAGCAGTACTTACCGCGGTGAACGGTTCTAAAAGTTGTTAAAAGTTAAAGAGAAGGCACTATTTTAAGAGGCAAGGTAGTGCCCTATCGCTACGATACGATATATCTAGAAGGCTAATCGTATCTAGATTTAAGGCGGTACTCGAATCTATAGGAACAGATACTAGGATCGCGGGCAGCAATAGCAGCATATATTAAGCGTAAGGGTCCCGATATAGCACGTCTCGCTACTACCGATATAGAGCTAGATTAGCTTTATTTAATTAAACCCTCTCCGATAGCTTCTAGTAGCTAGAGCTTAGCTTTTGTCTTAGTGCTAGGCATTGCAGCCTTTTAGACTAACGACATTAGCGTGCCTATTACTCCTTATTAATACTACGATCGCTGCTTTTAATACTGTCTTAGACTTCGAGCGAGTATCAACTTCGACAACTTTTAGCAACTTTTAGTAACTTTTAGTATCCCGTATATCTCGTATTCTACTTGTCGGGGCCGTACTATTTTACTTCACGCTTTCTGTAGCTTTAGCTATAACGTACTTCCGTTCTTCTATCTCGCTTTAAACGCGGAAGGTCCGCATTCTAACTCTATATTAAGCTTTAGCAACTTTTATCCTCCTTGTCCTCGAGTATAGGAAGATTCTGCTGTCTCTAGGTTCTTATACTATCTTTTAGCATCTTTCGGCATCTTTCGGCATCTTTTAGAATCTCTATATCCCTAATGATTAGAGGGCTCTATAAACTCGCATTGCGCTTAAGGTTAATAGATCCGCCTTCTACCTATCTCTTTGTCTTCTTAAGCCGACTTTTAGCAACTTTTAGCAACTTTTAGAACCTCTATATCCCTAATAATTAGAGTATTCTATAAACTCGCATTTCGTTTAAGGTTAATAGGTTCGCCTTTAGCCTACCTCTCTGTCTTCTTATACTAACCTTTAGCAACTTTTAGCAACTCTTAATATCTCTATACGCTCGAGGATCGGAAGGTCCTACGATCTATAGGCTATAATATCAACTTTCGGCAACTTTTAGCAACTTTTAGTAACTCTCCGTAGGTCTAACTAATATCTAGCGTTCTATAATATCGCTAATGCCGATATATCTTCTGTTGCTGTCGCTACTGTTGTTATTCCTATTATTTCTATCTGCTCGGCCGCGAAGACGAGAACAGATAAGAAATCTATATAGCTTAACTTCACTTTGTAATTTAAAGTTAAACACTAATATTTACGACACTCGATATCTTCCGCTATAACTATCAATTTGCGTTCTAATTACGGTTAAAATTTCCCTATCGACGTAATAAAGCCTAGCGCTTATATATAGAATAATCCTACTAAGTCGACCTCGCCGTCGCTATTACTACGAGCATACCTATAAAGTCTTAGCATTACGTCCTACCCTCTACCTATCGAAAATTGCCGCTACTACTACTAAGACGTCTTAAACCTACTACTAGTAGGATCTCCTCGTCGCTACGATCCTTAACGTATCTATTTTGCCGCCTAAATATCTACCGCTAATACTACTATAACCTAGACCGAGATTTCCGTCCTAACCGTTACTTTCGCTATCTACTACCCCCGTTAGCGTATATATATATATATACTACCCCTCTATTAGCATCCCTATCGCTACTTCCGTCCCTATACTCTCTAAATCCTACTACTTTCCTCTTTCTCGGCGCTGCCCGAGTAGTTATATTTATTCTTAAATTTAGTGTACTTAGAACCGCCTAGCGGTTCTAAGTATAGGTTAGTATCTAATCCCCCCCTTTAGCTTAGTAGAAATAATAATTACTAATACTACTTGTCTTATTACACAATAAGGATATATATAACACCGCGGTTGCTAAACTGATTCATCAAATTCCCAATCAAATCCATCAAATTCAAACTAAATTCAGCTAACCAATCAATTCACAGTAATTCAAGATTCATTTTTTTGAATTTCCGGAGCTTTGCCAGTCTGGAGCCCGCTGCCCCGCGATCAGCGGGCGTGAAGTGTGTGACGGAACCCTGGATATTACGGGCTGTAAGTTGCGTAGGCAGTCCAAGTGCCGGGCAAGGCAGATCATAGCCTGAGAGGGTCTCGTACTCGTTCAGGTACCTATTTTTAGAAGATTAGGTAATGCTGACTCTAGGTCTCGTCTCGTCCATCTGCCGTGTTTTCAACTACTATTGAGTCCGATAGGTTGTCAAAGAATTTGGATTATCTCCAGTAAGCTCGATGCTTCGCAATCGGACTGAAGAATGCCGTCTATCGAACGGTAGCAGTCTCGGACTTGATTGAGGGCGATACAGCCTCCGAAGAAAGCAGTGAGATATAGAATATTGAGGGACTGATCACGATGCATCATGTACGAGGCGACATCTTGGGAATACCAGCGACGCATCTAGCCGACAGTCGACTCTCAGTCTTGCCTGAGTCGACGGGGAGGTATTGTGGTCTACTAGAAGCTGTACTTCATCGGCATCATCAAAGACAACCAGCGGAACGATTGAGCACGCTTCTGAGATCCATCCGATTCGAATCTCCCTGAAGGAATTGATCCGGCGGCCGTCGAGAATCGCGTTTCTTCTGAAGGTCTGAAGAAACCCGCTAGAAGATCTTCGAACAGCAATGGAGGCAGCTCAGTCCCGGAAGGAGCTCTGCGGCCCATAGCAAGATATGTCGTGTAAGCATCTGCAGACTTCATGGCCTGTACAAAGTCGTCCCGATCGACTGCAACATCATGCCATCTTACTTCTAAGCTCCTGGCCGCCAAAAATTCCTGCTTTACCCAGATCCGTTGAAGCCACGAAGCTTTGTGAAGAGATTGCAGACGTGCTCAGGCTTCGTGCAAACGACGGTCGCGAAGTCCTGCGAAGAAGTCCTGTCGAGCGATGAGCATTTCCAGATCATCTGCCAATGGTGTGGGCAGATCGTCGAGCATGTCATCTCCTAGCCATATGATTACTGCAGTACGAGAGAGCACGGTACTGCACTCGCCTCTGTAATTTGGGAACGAAGATGCCATTTCCATGCTCGATCTCGGCCACATGAAGCTGGGCAATAGGCGATTGGGACGCAGTCCCTGGATACAGGGCCAGAACACGTGGTTGAGTGCTTCCGATGCGAGAGTACTGCGATGGAGCAGCTGTATACTTATACGTATGCGTGTCAAGTGCGATGGTTCTTTGCCGATATTTCTCCGGAACGGTCTTGGCATTGATGACATGACTGGTACCTAGGCTGGCTAGCAGAGATTGAACGTACTCGTCGTACTGTGGAGCTAGAAAACGTCGCAGAGTTCTGTCAAAATCGCCTCCGATGAGGGTTCCCTTGACGGGGCGTGATTATTGATAGATGGACGAGAATCAATCAGCTCAAGTACAATCCACACGGCTCTGCCAACATATAAATCTTGTATGTGCGATGTACATTTCCCTCCCGTGAACCCTTCTCCCCGAACGCCACGCTGAATCGACACGGCAAACGGCAAACATCAATAATGATCATCGCATGTAGCGAGCGCTCAACCCAGAAAATGCGTCTGGACTATGCCTTCCGTTTCCCGCAAAGCCTTGAAAATCCACGCTTTCCTTGCTCACATGGCTCGGTTGTCCGAAAGGGTTCGTGTTGCCCGACATCATCGATACAGGCATGGTCGCGCTCCGTTGGGGCATCTGCTCTAGCTGTGGCGGCTGCTGCTGCTGTAGTGTGCCGTCCTCCGGCAGTGTTTGGAGAGGTCTTTGCGGCGCCATTTGTGGATAATTATACAAAGATAATATTGAAGATTTGTCGTGCTTAATGCCTGAGCCTTGTTGGCCGTAGCTTTGCCCAAAGTTAACGTATCCTGGTTGTTGCTGATGGGGCAAGAGCTGCGGGTGCTGCTGCACTTGCTGATCCCATGGATTCGGTGCGCCACTCTGGGATTGCTGAGGCTGGAATTGCTGGGTCGCTTGCTGCTGCCAGGGATTCGGTGCTGCAGTCTGTTGAGGTTGCTGCACCGCTTGAGCCCACGGATTCTGTTGCACAGTCTGCTGCTGTTGCTGAGGCTGCTGCCAAGGGTTCTGAGCATCGCCCTGCTGAGGTTGCTGAGGGCCCCATGGGTTCGAGGGCTGGCCGGAAAGGAATTGCTCCTGAGCAGGTTGCTGAGCTTGCTGCGGCTGCGAGAAGAAGTCGGTCTGCTGTCCGTAGATTGGTTGAGGAGAGGCAACAGGCTGCTGCTGGATGACGTTCTGCTGCTGCCAAGGGTCGCCAGCGTACGAGGCTGCCTGCTGTTGCTGAGGGAGTTGTTGTGCCCAAGGATTGCTTGGCGTCAGGCTTTGCTGCGTGCTTTGCTGCGCCCAGGGATTTGATGGCTGTGCAGCGTGTGGAGAGACCGCTGGCTGCCACGCTTGTCCAGCGGGTGGATATGTAGTGCCCTGCTGATGCTGCTGTTGGAAGAATGGGTTGTTTGCTTGCAGAACATTGCCGTTCTGGTAATATGCCTGCTGATTCGATTGTCCACCTTGTTGGGGTTGTGAGACTTGCAAATTTTGGAAGCTATTCTCAAGCGTCGTCTGCGCCTGAGTCTGCTGTGGCTGCGCTGGAGACTGCAAGAATGGGTTCCAGGACGCAGAAGCAGTAGACTGCGGTGGAACAGATGCCGCGCGAGCAGGGATTGGCGGAGGTGCAGAATCTCGGATCTCCCACGGATTGCTGTCCTTTTTCTTCTCTATCGATATTCCGTTGGTACCAAAGCTTCCCATGGACACGGGGGTCAGTGCTCTCGGAGCCGGTGTGGCGGATCGCGAAATGGGCCTGGTTCCTTCTCCTAATCTCACCAGAGTCTCGACTGCCTTCTCAACATTCCCACCTGTGCCCTTGAGCACTTCAGTGTTTTTAGAATTGTCGTTGAACCCCATGTCTCGCAAGTAGGCCAATTTTTGGTTGAAATTATTATCTACTGTGGTGATCTTCATGCCAAATAAGCGGCTGGGTTTGTTGATGCCCTTGGGACTCGGCAGCTCGTGAGATCGCTCGCTACCGCTGTAGGCGGGAGACAGCGGAGGTGTGATCCTTTCCTGACGTTTCGATAGGGCAGCGCTGGATGATCGCAGAGTGAAGCCAAATCGTTTCGTCGGCTTCGGAGGTAGATCTGGTCCTTCCTCGCTCCATGAGCCAGTTCCAGTGCCCGTGCTGCCTGTATTCTGTATGGTTTGCCTCGGGGCACCTCGGCCTGAGCTCAATGTCCGCTGTTCGTATTTCTGGCGTATGTATCGCTCAATGGCAGAGTCGACCTCGTCAACATCGATCGGAATCTCGGGCTTGACATTCTGCGGGTTGTAGATCTTGTTGCTCGCCACATTTCCCACCGTCTTCATGTTGTCGACCTGCTCCGCGCTCCAGCTGTCCATTGACAGCGATTTCACCTTGGAGACATGTGTGCCTAGCTTCCGGTGCAGCGCGGCACAGCGCATGCACAAGAAAATGCCCAAGTTCCAGCTGGCCCAGGCGGGATTCTTCGCAGCGCAGTCGGCGCATCGATCGTTGCCGGGCACGGAGCGGATCAGGTCGTGCAGCGTGCGCTCGTTGCGGGCTTGCTGCCGCTTGCTGATTGCGCCGGCCATTTTGTCGAATCCTCAGATCCTCAGACTCTCAAGCTCTCCCGCTGCCGCTGCCGCTGCCTCGTGCTCCCCGACTGTCGCGTGTCCTCGGCAGCGTTTCGACACTCGTTCGGTGCGACGGCGAGGGCGAGCGGCGAGCGCGTGGTTGTGACGTGGCCGTGTCCTGTCCTGCCCCCCCCTTTCGCCGCTCGCGACAACCACCGCACTCCGCAGACCGCAGATACTCAAAGCACGCACTCAGAGAGAGGAAAGGACAGCAGACATGCGAGAAAGGCCCGGATTAACAAATGCTTGACATACGGCAAAAGAGGCGTCCCAAGGAACACCGCGACAGAGCGACAGAGCGACAGACGTGGGTTCAACAAGTTGTTCGTGTGGCGCGAGTAAGAGATTAGGATGCCGATCAAGCGGCGTTGGTATTAAATTATTAATAACATGGCAAACCACTTAGAGACAAGTTTGTTATTCACAACTATTAGTAATGTTCATCGACGAGACAGGCCCTGGTTAGCAACAGTTATTAAGAATTAATGCGTCTGTTATTCATTTCTTGAACTTTCTCCTCAAACTTCTCATAAGACTCTACGACACGTTTCGACTGTGTCAAGCATATGCGGGCATTCACACGACCACTCAATCGGAGTAATTGCAATATTCTCAGCACTTCACGAGACAGCGACACAACCGATTGTCTCCTCGCCGCCAATGTTGTGCCGCCGAAGAAATCGAAGCCTGAATATCGCCTTCGCCTTCTCAGACAGCTCTTCCCGCAGCGTTGTATCAGCCACATGTGCAAGACGCCTTGGTGTTTCGGGTCTTCGACTCTTCTCGCATGATAATAAGACACTCTTGCCATCGCGACGCAGTATCACTGGCCGGTGAGTACGGGGTGCAAGCGACAGCCGAAGCAAGAGTTACACAGCGTGGGCGGAGAGCGGCGTTGATTGTTGTCGCGTACAGCAGCAAGGCAGCAAAACCTGCTTCGGCTTGGATGCTGACCATTCGTTTGGAGCATACTCGAGAATGGGAGATGCACTCAACAACCAGTGATGTGGCAGGCATCAACAGCGGCCTCACTGTTGGAGGCCTCAATGCCATAGCTTCCTGTTGTGTGACTCACAATGTGTGCTTTGTCTGGGGCCCGCCATACAGATCTTTATGCGTGCCTGCGCCTTTGGAGGCATACAAGCAACCGTGCCGTCTTTCTGCAAGCTTGCAACAACAGGGTCGGCCAGCTTATGATTGCGAGATGAAGCGTTGAAATGTCGCTACCGGTCATCTTGGGCCAGTGAGAAGGGGGGTTTATTCGGTAGCATGTGATGATGCAGCGCAGTCACAAGGACACCATATTAACGGACGACAGGCGCGTTCAGGAATGGAGAAGGGCAGTAGAAGATAAGAAGAGATAACGTTCGCGCAAATCAGCTCGCACAGTCGGTTGTTGTGCAGATTTGCTCGCCGCGGCCAGATGCAGATGCAGTCAGAGTACATACCACTGCAGCACAGTACAGCTTATCTACAAGAGCGGAGTCGCAGCGGGCAGTCGGGACCAGCTTCGAAACATTGGAAGCTCAGGCAGTGGGAGCGTTAGTAGGTCGAAGGCTCTGCTAGGCTCGAGGTCAGAGGGAGAACGGCGAGGGTCTGGTGGGGATGATGTCTCGGCCGGAACAGCGCCAGATCCACGGCGCGGCAATGCCACGCATATGTACAGTATGTATGTTCTCGGACATGGGAGTTCTGCTGGTACGTACAGCGTGGACGGATGCAGAGCCGCAGCGATACTGTATACATACCGAGAGAGTGCAGCAATCGACATGGGGATGACGCGAGCGGTACGGTATTCTACTGAAGCTTCCGCGCGTGATCTTCTTGGTTTCGAGGCAATTGTCATCGCGCCATGGCATGGCCCAGCACGCAAACATACCGCGCCATCGCGACAGAGCGGACGAGCGCATTGCCGTTGCCGCTGCCATTGCCTCAGTTGTATGTGACGGGAGGTCTAGGATGAAATAGCAGGTGTCGAATGCATGTGATTTCACCGTAGTGTAAGGCGTCAAGAAGTAGAGGCAGCGGAGAAGGCTTATCGCGATGGATAGCAGAAGCAGTCTAACCCGAACAGGTGAGGTGAGCTCTAGAACTACTGTCTGTATCATGCTCCATCACCTCCCAGGCCTCCGTGACACCTGCGCCTACACCTGCGCCTACACCTACGCCTACGCCTACGCCTACGCCTACGCCTACGCCTACGCCTACGCCCTCTCTCACAGCTTGCGCAACTACTTCGCTTCTTTCCACCATACTCTTTTCATACTGCCGCGCCGTCTTGCGAATAATCACCCCGACCACCACAAAGAGCGCTGCTTTGACGTCGTTGCTGCCCTGACCGACGCACAGACGCGAGCGAGCCGCGGTCACACGTTCGAGTCCACGCCAACTCCAACTGACGACTGACGCCTGACGACCGCCTACGCCTCCGCCAACCATCACGAGGCGTCTGTCACACTTGCACACATAATCTCCTTCAACGCTCAACCACCACTGTCAATCATTCACCAAAGCCTCATGTCGTCCTCTGCATAGCCACCAGCCTGCCAACCCATCCCATCGTCCACCGCACCGCACCGCACCGCCGCCAAGCCAGCACCACTCCCCACCAACGGACCATCGCTCGCTCACTTCGCACCCCATGCATCCGAACGTCAAGACTGACGCTCATCTCGCTATTTAGGCCATCGCGAACCACAAGAGGCCGCCTTGTAACATCGCGGCAGTCATGGCCGCGCCCAGGCCTCCGCCCTCCTCCTCGACGCGGCCTCAACAGCCCGAGATGGAGCCTGACGAGGTGATAGGAGAATTCCGTCGAGGCAAAGAGATTGGCAAGGGCAGCTTTGCCACCGTCTACCTGGCTCAACATCGCAAGAAGAAGTCCTATGCCGCCGTCAAGGCTGTCCAGATGGCCAAGCTGTCTAAGAGACTCAAGGAGAATCTGGCAACCGAGATCGAGATTTTGAAAGGCCTCAAGCATCCGCATATCGTTCAGCTATTCGTCTGTACAGACACGCCTTCATACATCTATCTGGTCATGGAATACTGCCAGCTCTCCGACCTCGCGCAGTTCATGAAGAAGCGGCATCAGCTCCCCAACTTCCCAGAAACTGCAGAGATCTTTCGCAAATACCCCAACCCCGAGTTTGGAGGCCTCAATGAAGTTCTTGCACGTCATTTTTTGAAACAGATTGCCAGCGCTCTCCAGTATCTTCGCTCGCACAACTTAATCCATCGCGACATCAAACCCCAGAATCTACTACTTAATCCTGCACCTACATTCATGGTCAAGCAGAAGCCGGAAGACGTGCCGTTAGCCGCCAGCGAGGGCTCTCTTACTCCAGCTTCTGGCGTTACTTCTCTTCCCATGCTCAAGATTGCCGACTTCGGCTTCGCCCGACATCTTCCATCCACCTCTATGGCAGAGACTCTTTGCGGTTCACCGCTTTACATGGCACCGGAAATCCTCAGATATGAAAAGTATGATGCACGAGCTGACCTCTGGTCGACTGGTACTGTTCTCCACGAGATGGTTGTTGGGAAGCCGCCCTTCAGGGCACAAAATCACGTTGATTTGCTACGCAAGATCGAAAAAGCCAACGATCTCATTGTCTTTGACAACAAAAACATGACTATCAGCCGTGGCATGAAGGACCTCATTCGCAAGCTCCTGAAGAAGAGTCCTGTGGAACGTATGACGTATGAGGCTCTGTTCAATGATCCTGTGGTTGTCGATGAGATTCCTGGTCTGGCGCCCGAGGATAAGCCGCAGGAGAGGAGCGCTCACGAGACTCAAGCAGCTGTGGACGAGTTCTCGGAGCTAAGCAGGAAAATGGCCAAGGCTATGGAGACTTCTGTGACCCCAACGCCGAGATCTGCACCGGAGCCACAGCTTCAAGCCCGACGCTCTCAAGATGAAGTCGCCGGCCGTACTTCGCGAAAGTCGTCAGAGCAGGAGTTCCAACAACGTAAGGCAGATGATATGGCCAGACGGAAGTCGTCATCCGGCAGCCAAAATCAGCCCGAGAGTGCTCCTTTGAAACGCCAGCCCAGTCAGCGAGAGCGAGAACGAGAGCCGCGTAGACCAAGCATTGTCGCACATGTCACTGCTCCGGGACGTCAAGAACCCCACCAGCAGCAAGTACCCATGACGAGCGCTCCGCCGATACAGAGACGAGCTAGCAGATCTTCGCCACTGGCTGGCCCGCCCTTGGTCCGCGAACCGACTATGGAGGCAGAGAGCTCGAAGAACGAGCGTGCCGCTCGTGAAGCTCGTGAGCGAACTGCGCAAGAAGTGGCATTCGAGAAGGAATATGTGGTCATCGAGAAGCGCGCAGTCGAGGTCAATGCATTTGCAGATGAACTGGATGCGAACGCTCACTTGATCGGTCATGGCTCGTCTTCAAACCAAGGTGCCGTGGTACGCCGAGCAACGACCCAGGGTCAGCCAGCTTCGACCTCAGGTGCTACACCGTCAAGCCCATCACGAGCCATGCAAGTGGCGACTGGACGAACCCCGCACGCTCGGGGCGGGTCCTTTGAACGACGATATGGCCCTTCGCCGCAGTCTGCCACGAACATGCTGACCAAAGCATTGAACGCCGCCAATGTTCGGCTATTCGGAGCGCTAGGAACTTCGCCACCCTTCGGCAAAGGACAATCTCCGCCTCGTGGCTACACTGCATTCCCAGCATACCCATCTCCACCTGCTGCTCTTGCTATTGGCGATGGCAGCGATACATCGAAGGGACCGGTCGACGAGGATACCAAGCTCGTCCGCATCATGGAAGATGCAGCGCATCGCAGCGATGTCATCTTTGGCTTTGCGGAAGTCAAATACAGGCAGTTGCTGCCGGCCACACCTTCGTCCCAGGATGCACTTGGCATCCAGCAGATTGGTGCACAGGATAGCGATTCAAAGGGCGACGATGAAGACAAAGACATGACTACGGTGGCGATCATTGGCGTGGCAGAGGAAGCTTTGGTGCTCTACGTGAAGGCTTTGGCAATCTTAACCAAGACTATCGATCTTGCTGGGTTCTGGTGGAGCAACGAGCAGAAATCACGAGCAGAAGGCACTTCTTCTTCATCCTCGCCGCAGACCCAGGTGGCCAATCGCATTCTTGCAGTTGTGAAGTGGTGCCGCAATCGCTTCAATGAATGCCTGGAGAAGTCGGAAGTCGTCGGACGTCGATTGCAGGTTGCGCAGAGACAACTTCCGGAAGACCACCCCAGCCATCCAAAGCACCATGGTACCGAGTCTGGCACTGAGATCGCCACATCAGCCGAACACATCCATATCACTAGCGGTGTTACGGCTGAACGACTGATGTTCGACCGTGCAGTGGAGATGAGCCGTGCTGCAGCTGTCAGCGAGCTCGTGGGAGAAGAGCTGAACGACTGCGAATTGGGTTATAAGACAGCCGTCATGCTGTTGGAAGCAGTGTTGGAGAGTGACGACGAGCCACTCGTTCGCAAGCCAAGCCAGAAGAGAGACAAGGCTGCGGACGAGCGTGTGAATGGCATGGAGACCGAAGACAGGCAGACAGTCATCAAGCGTGAGTGCCTTGAGCCTAGCTGAAGCGTTATTTCGACTAACACGTGAACAGTCATTGATGGCGCGCGAGCTCGTCTGCATGCGCTCAGAAAGAAGATGCATGCCGCGCAGCAAGTGTCGGCCAAGCGTTCGAACACGAGCGGTACAGGCACGCCAAAACCAACGAGCATTTCATCCCCGGTGACAGCGACACCGACCATTTCGAGCACACCGCCGCGATGACAACAAGCGCAAAACGCACACGCATGGAACAATTTCGATATGTTTCAAGTGACGATACGACGGCGCACAAGACATTGCGCCTTACAGACTGCGAACGACTAGATCTTTTCACATACTCATGATCAAGGACGGGCACTTGAGCCAAGAATGGGCATTGGCGTTATCCTAAACGGGTTCTTTTCGGGTTTACTGGGAATAGGACGGCAGGGCAATTGAGGTTTGCTTTGGGGACAGCCCGAGGGATTTTTTTGTTTCTTACATTTCTCACACATCGAGCCTTCGACGCTGTTGAATAGCGGGAGGCAATGTTGATGGCTGGCTACCACACACAGAGCGACGTGAGACAAGATTTGAATGGAGGCGCATATGGCGGGCAGCATCGGAGGTTTTGGACTGTCGAATGTTATATTAAGCGGGAAAGGAAGGGCGTCGAATTGTTGATTCTAGCATACTCTATGATACCACGTCACGCACGCCTGGCACGGCGGCGAAAGAAACTCCCGGACTGGACGGGAGAGAATGAATTGATATGATGGGGGGAGGAGAGGAGGGGGGAGGGAAGGGGAGGGACGTCTTGGCTGTGGATTAGAAGGATCTTTCCAATAGCAGTGTCTCAATGAAAATAGAGTCGAATAATTGGTATGTCTTTGACTGGATCTGATATGGAAAGCTGTGTGGTGAAGTCGAGGTACAGGCCCTTGTCGTCGATCAGGTGCATGCGGACGTCATACGGCAAGCTGGAGCTGCAGCACGCGCCCAGCGACCGGGGTGTCGGCGTTGAACTCTCAGAAATCTTTCAACCGCAGGTCACGACTCACCAGACTCTTCATAGCAACGCGCTCTTCCTATCTCTTCCCTCAACCGCTCTCTCGCTTCTTCCACACCACAGTCACCACCAAACTCGCGACCAGAACCACCCCAGCCTTCGCTACCACCATGACTTCCCTCGCCGTCCACTCCACCAAACACAAAGTCTGCATCGTCGGCAGCGGCAACTGGGGCACTACCATTGCCAAGGTCGTCGCCGAGAACACAAAAGAGAACTCCGACGTCTTTGAAGAAGAGGTCCAGATGTGGGTGTTCGAAGAACAAGTCCACATCCCAAAAGACAGCAAACACTACGACGCGGCGTCCGAACTCTGTCAAAAACCTCAGAAACTCACACATTTGATCAATGCCCTACACGAGAACGTCAAGTATCTGCCCAGCATTCCGCTACCGCAGAACATCGTCGCCAACGCGGATTTGGTGAAAGCGGTGGAAGGAGCGACGATCCTGGTGTTCAATCTTCCGCATCAGTTCATTGGAAAGATTTGTGAACAGATCAAGGGAAAGGTCGTGCCGTTTGCGAGGGGTATCAGCTGTATCAAGGGACTGGAGGTGACGGAAGAAGGTTGTGATTTGTTTTCGGATAGTATTGGACAGAAGCTGGGCATTTATTGTGGTGCGCTTTCTGGAGCGAACATCGCGACGGAAGTGGCGCTGGAGAAGTTTAGTGAGACGACGGTGGCGTATGATCCTCCGCATATGGATTCCCAGCGACCGACGCCCGAGGGTACGCCAAGTACTTCGAGGAGAGGGAGTCAGGAGGGATTGGAGGTGACGATTAACGGGGCAAGGGTGGAGGGATTGGAGAAGGGCAAGGGTAAGGTGAAGTTGGTGAGTCTGCCGGCTGAGTATCCTCCGCTCAACCATGCAAATATGCGGAAGCTGTTTCATCGACCATACTTCCATGTCCGCATGGTACACGACGTGGCCGGAGTGTCGTTGGGCGGAGCTCTCAAGAACGTCGTCGCTCTCGCTGCAGGCTGGGTCGATGGACTAGGCTGGGGAGACAATGCCAAAGCCGCCGTCATGCGAGTCGGAATCCTGGAAGAAGTCAAATTCGGCAAGACATTCTTCTCCAACTCCTGCCGCACCGAGACTTTCACGGAAGAGTCCTGCGGTGTGGCCGACATGATCACTTCTTGCTCTGGAGGTCGAAATTTCCGATGTGCGAAGATGAGTGTGCAGGAGGGCAAGCCGATCAATGAAATCGAGGAGAGGGAACTCAATGGACAGAAGTTGCAGGGTACGAGTACTGCGCTTGAGGTCAATGCGTTCTTGAAGAAGCAGAAAATGGAGAAGGAGTTCCCGCTGTTCACGGCGGTCTATCATGTTTTGCAGGGCAATAATCGTCCCGAGGATATTCCAAAGTTGATCGAGCCTGCGGATGAGTAGGAGGAGTCGGAGATGAACTTGCACGAGAAGAGCGCATGACAAGGACAAGGCAATGAAATATGAAAATTTTATGCATGATAGCGAGGCGTTGTGGGACAAGGGTTTGGTAGGATCACCTATAGAATCCTGCGAGGGAGCTACACGTAGACAGTTGCCTTATGAAAGGCAACACTGAAATGATCGATGCATCTGATAGACCTACGACCAATACGAAAGTTGATCAACTACGCTACACTCTTCGTTCCCCGTTCTGCAATCCAAGCTCTCTACCACCATCCCCCACCATCCCATCATGCACCGCGAAGTTTTGCAAAGAGCAAAAGCTTCGCTCCGTATCTGCGATATATCATCCGGTTGGTTGTTGGTGAATAATCAAGTCTTTCTCACTACCCTACCTCCACTCAGTCGCTTCCGCTTGTAATCTCGTGTATAGTGTGACTTGCTTGCTACGTTTTCGGTTCTCGGATCTTCTTGATAGATTTATTACATCGTAGCTTTTTCTAAATTGGACTCTTCCTTTTAACTTGGAACTCTTCTTGGTGGCTTTGGTATTATACTACTAGGTAGGTTGGTTGGTTGGTTAGTTAGGTATACCTGCTCGTCGTATATAATGATCGTGGGATGGATGGAAGGAAGTTGTGTATAGTGGGTAGGTAATAGAGCTAGTACTAGAAGATTTGAATTTTATACTTTACATTTTAGTGTGCTTTTGTAGGCTAGCTAATTGATACATCGTAGAAATCGGGGTGTATAATAAGACGAGGCAATAGATGTATTCCTAACGATGGCGTGGATAGTAATAGGGAAAGCATCGAGTTGAACTTCTCGTTCGCCAACATAATAAGTTATTATTATTAGCAGGTATGCAAAGTCTGACCCACTTTACTAGGTCCGTATATCTTATCTGTCCTACATGTATATACTCTTTCTCATATCCTGTGCATAGATATGTCGCAACTCATCAATCATTACCCTTCCCTTCCCTTCCCCATCCCTCCTCCCCTCACTTATTCCGAACCCCAACCACACTCTGCGGATTCCTAAAAACATTCGTCGGATCCCAAACCCCCTTGACCCTCTCCAAATACCCCAAATTCCCACCCCAATACGCTTTCTGCGGATTTTGTAACCCATCATCCACATACCCGGGATACGTACTCTCATCGATCGCCTTGGTACTGTTCATGACAAGCGCATTCAAATTCGTCAAGAAATCTCTGCTTGCTTTGCTCACGGGTCCCGAGAGATTTACTGCGTAGGACTGTAGCCACACCAAAGCGTCACGATGCCAGTATGCGGAGGAGTCTGTGGAAAACTCATTGATTGCGCCGCCGGCGAGATCGAAGAGCACGAACCAGAGCGGTGTGCCCTTGTCCGTTGAGTTGAGGTAGGAGTAGACGGAAGCGATGGTGGCGGGAGACATGAGAGTGCTGTTGGTGTATTTGAGAGATTTTCCGTAGAAGTGGCCGGGGGTGTGGGAGCTGAAGAGGGCTGAGAATAGGGTGGAGAATTTGGTGCCGGAGGGGAGAGCGGTTATGAGGGGTGAGGAGGCGGCTTCGGTTACGAGGGAGAGGATGGAGGTGAGGTTGAGATTGGACAGGACCGCTCCGGCGATTTGGAGGTCGGTTGTGTTGGTGAGGATGTCGATGAGGCCGGAGGTTGCGAGGTGGGAGAGGATGGTTGGGAGTTGGGTGGCGTTTAGAGTGGAGCCGAGGGCTTTGAGCGTCGTGCTGTTGGAGGCTTGAATGCCTTGCAGGATTGCTTGGGTGTTGCCGGATTTGAGCGCTGGGGCGAGTTTTTGGATTCCGGATATGAGTTCGAGGACGATGGAGGAGGGGAGTGATGGAAGCAGGGAGAGGAAGCCGGTTGATTTGAAGTCTGACACTAGAGCGATCGTGGCCGTGAGGTTGAGCTTGTCCAAGACACCGAGAAGGGCTGAGGTTGGGATAGCCTGAGAGGTCAATGCGCTCAGTCCGACTTTTGAGAATTCTGCTTGCGTGCCCATGAAGTTGCCGTTGATCAGAGAGAAGCCTTCGTAGACGTAGACAGTTGAGCCGAAGGAGTGGGATAGGTTCTTTTGTGAGATGATTGCTTGCCAGGCAGAGAGAAAACGTGCCGAGGTGCTGAAATTGCCTGGGATCAAGTAGGAGTAATCGATTTGCTGAACGACATCGTGCGTCTGGATCCAGAAGCGCGTGACAATCCCGAACGACCAGGCTGCGCCTCGGATGGCGAAGAAGAGATCCGGATGTTGTCGTTGGTTGGCAATAACAACAGCACCATTTGCTATCACAACTTCTACTTGCACGATCTGATCAGAAGCAAGTCCGTGTAGTCGTGATCCTGGTCCCAGACCACCAATCGTGAGATGACCACCAGTGCCTACAGATGGAATTGAACTGAAGATTCCCAGGGGTACGGGTACGGTAACCCCCATTCGGACAGCACCCAGGAGGTTACCGGATCCAAAGCTTGCGAACTTTGTCTGGTCATCGTACGCGAAGTCATTCAGGTGTTCGAGACGGATTGACAAAGAGCCATTTGCTCCACCCAGACCTGGATCGAGGTTAGTGTCTCGTCAGACTGAAAGTGATGTGTTGCTAACCAAAGTTGAGATAGCTGTGACCTCCACTCAGCGACTGCACAGCTACGCCTGCCTTGTGAGCGCATTGCACCAGCGCTGAGACCTCGTCAACGCAGGTAGGAAAAGCTATGGCTGAGGGAAAGTAGATGTGATCCAAGTTGTACACATTAAGATCGGTCTGGTAGTTGGCAGTAGTCGGAAACGCATAGAGGCTCGAATTGCCATTCACGGCAGCTGCGATACAGGAAGTGTATGCATTGACATCAGGATGTCCAGGCAATGCAGCAGCGAAGCTGACTGCGAGGCCAACCAGAAAAGAAGAGGTTGCCAGCATGATGTATCGAGTCACTCGAGTAGTCCAAAGCAAGTGAACTTACAGCAACAGCGAGTGGTGAAGTCTAGAACTACCGGCCGACTTTTATGAACATTTGGAGTCCCTGGAGTTGAGGTCCGTGTCTCGTCACCTGCCTGCTGTATTGCATGATGCCGACCAAAGCCTAAATGGGCCGGGCCAGCAGCGAGTGCCAGGCCTCGAGCTGCTTCTGAGGTGACGGTATGCAACGGTAATTACCGCTAGTAAGTGGCCAAAGTAATCCAGCCCCCCGGCTGTAGAGCAGCCTCGACCTGCCAAGCAATAGCCGGTCCATGAGACTGCATACTGTCCGAATGGGATACGTGCTCGCTTACAGGTGAAGGTCTTCTTCTGATTCGTCTCAGGTACACTCGAGTGTCCCTGCAAGTGAATCTTCACAGTGGCAACCCCGATTCTCGATGAGTTTCTGTGCTAGAAGTAGCGACAACTCGATAACAAATTCGGCTTCAAAATGATCCTGCCGTTGTCCAAAAGGCCTGGAAGTAGTGCTAAGATCGTGAGCCATTGGAAAAACGGCTTGTTCGGCATTCCTAAGCGAGGCTCATGTGGACAATAATTCGTGTCATAGCTGTTCTGGGGTGCACACGGCCGATGACAGATTGGTCCATTCCGGCATTTGCGAGCCCCAGGAACACGTTCCTGATTTAGCACCAGCCCTGCTCCCCACGAGGTCTTGGAAGTGTCGATCCTAGTCAGAAACCGGGTTGACTGGAAATTGCTTTTGCTTTGGCCACTGACGCCTGCGCCGTGAACGTGTGTGAAAGACAATTCTAGACTGGTTTCAGCGGCGTGATCACGATGAGTCTTGGTCCTTGGTCCGTCCTGGTGGATGTCACCAAGAGTGGCAATTCTAATGATGCTGGCGCGAGTTATGGCCCGTCTGCTGCGAACTTCCGCATCCTAGTCTCGGAACTCTATTGAAGAGATATCCGTGATCGTGGCATCGTGCACACGCCACACGGCAGAAGGTTGTGTCCAGCTATACATGACAGTGCAGAGCGGTTTGACCGTTTGACCGCATTTGTCGACTTCTGTAGCGGCCGCGCCGAAATGTGAACGCTACCGGCTGCATAGCTGAGTTCTGCTTGGGATGGGGAATGTCCAGCGTGTCCAGAGCGGACAATGATGGACTAGGTATGGAAGCCAAGCTTCCCGATTGACGTCGGTCAGCGAACGATTCACGAAGCATGAAGGTAGCACTTATGCTCAACTAAGCACAAGCCTTCGTGGAATCGTGGCTTTCGTCATCGCAATCGAGTGCGATCGCAGAGGTTATCAACCCATTTCACTGACCCGATACTCTGTCGAGAGTAGCATAGCCCTAAGGCCTTGCGAATGTGCGACTTTCAATGCATGATCCTCGTCGATTTCGTGGTCCAGACCTGCATACAAGAGCACATGTCTTCCTTGAGATAATGCCTAAGCGGGTCAATCAGATCTTCGAACCAGTGTGTACTGCGAGCACAAAGATATCCTCCGCCCTCCAAGTCGCCTTCGTAGCATTGCACAGATCTGCCACATGGCAAACAGACATGCGATTGTTGTCCATGCCGAGTTTCCTTGAGTCTTGTTTCGCCTCTTGCTGGAATAAATCCGGCGTGCCTGGTCCGAATTGACCTTGGCCTTGGACATGTGAGAGTGACGTGTTGTTCGGTCAGCCGGAGGTGAATGGAGACGCAAGCTTCATTGATGCCATCTCCACCACCATCAGCAGTCACAACTTCGGTATCTCGGCCGACACAACTGCTCTGCTCAATATCATTCCTCCATGACTTGATGGCATGCGAGGCAGCGATGTGTGAGGATCGACATACACGTGTCTTTGGGTCGTCTAGGACATGAGTTGCGACGCTGCAGTCTGCACATCTAATCGGAAGACAATTGGCTATATGTGGACTTCACATCACCATAGGCCGAGCAGGAATCAGTGATGCCCTCAAGACTAATCTATGTACAATCTAGCACAAGCATGCTTACAAAATATTCCTTCTCAGCTCGGCGAATTCTTTTTTGCCGAGCCATCCGCCGCCGTTGAATAACTCCTCCGAATGTCTCCCTGGATCTCACCTTCCGAACGTATTCACGCACATCCAAGGATGACCGAGACAGTTCGGAGAAAACATAAACGGCCACGCCCACAAAGTAGTTGTGCCGTCTGTCACAAGAGAAAAGTTCGATGCGACAAGAAGCTACCTTGTGGTCCGTGCCAGAAGCATGGGTGTGCAAACGAATGTCGATTCGACGGACTTCCCGCTCAGAACGGAGAGGAGCCCAGTCTTGCTATTCATGAGAGCGATGAAATCGATGGTCGGCGTGGTGGGCCGCAAGACAATACTATCACGCCCCCTTCAAATGAGACTACCTCGCACAGTCTATTGACGCCGGAGATCCTCACGCCGCCCTCACGAAGGCAGACTTCGGCCAGAGACATTGTACAAGATGTGCCTTCTAGCACTCGTTTCGACACCCACAACTGGCCTACCAATGGACCGTGGCGTGGTCGGACGCATACATCCGGTGTCTTGCAGCACTTGGATCCCATCATGAGCTACCTTGGCAGTGACTGGACGAGTGGCAGCCAGCTACATGACGATGGAACCATTCTCAGCCGAACGCGCGAATTGAACAAGTCGGCTGACACCTTTAAGTCAGTCGGCGATACCCTTTCAAGCAACGTCTACGATGAGATGGCCCGCGTCACGACCTCCTGCGATCTCATGGTACGATACTTTGACACCTGGGATGCGGTATTTCCGCTGGTAGATCAAATCGAGTTTGGAAGAGATTATAACGTCATGCTCGCGAATCCGCGAAGCGTGCCAGTATGCTTCGTACTCAAGGTCTTGGTCATGCAGGCGCTCGCAAATGCGACTTACCCTGCGAATGAAGCACCCATATCGAAGGAAACGGTCCGGAGATGGCTAGACTTAGCATCAGCGATACCTGTGTCTGCGATGGCCTTCGGTGAAATTCACGTCCACTCGGTCCAGATGTTCACCCTCATCAACTTGGCTGATCAAGTGTTGTCTCTCGACTCCACAAGCGGCTACATCAAATCGGGAGTAGTCGTGCGCTCTGCCATGATTCGCGGTCTGCACTTGAGTGATGGCGTAAGGCTGTCCTCACCGGAAAGTGGTATAGACGAGCAGAAACTTTGGCACAGCATCGTTGAGGTTGATCAGCATGCCTGCTTGGCCGCTGGGATGCCACCTTCTGTGCCGAATTCATTAGCTGATCAGACATCCATCGACGCATCTTCCAGCCAGTACTTCGGTCAGGAACTAGACCAGACGAGTCTCCAAACACTTCTGGCCAGCACTTTACCAATACGACAGAGAATTCTAACAGTTCTCAACGGCGAGAGAAAGCTGCACTTTGAACAAGTCGTGGAACTAAGCGGCGTATTGACGCGAGCCTTCGCTCCCGTTTCGACACGAGAAGACGTCCCTCAAGCTCAGAAGACGTTCCAATACAAATACATATCGTTCGTATATGCCAGATTCTTAGCTGCGCTACATCGGCCTTTCGCCACAATGAGCGATCCCGCCTTCTACCTCTCGCGAAGCCTCGCTGTACGACTTTCCAAGCGCTGCCTTCGGGAGCTGTCAAGAGCATATAAACGGCGAGGAAACGTCGACCACTTCGATGCCCTGCTACCCGGTAACGGTATCATGTTCCGTTCTGAAGCATTGCAAGCGCTCTTAGTCTGCTGTCATGAGATGATACGAGAAGACAATGCAATGCAAATGGCTCTTTCACCGCCAGACGAGGGTCGTACTTCTGTCATGGAAGCTATCAAGGACTTTTTTGGGATAGCCGAAGCAAGGGTGCAGCTGCACGAGCTTCCAGAGCGATTCTTCCTGGCACCCGCAATGGTATATGCGCATACTCTCGCAACAGCACGTAGCAGACCGGATTCTGAGGACTACCGAAGAGCTATGGCCGAAGCTGGACGTGAGGCGTTGCGGATTGTGGATTATCGTGCTTGCACGACCTAATAAAAGCTATTAGTGGCATAAAAGAGAACTCATATAGAACGATATAGCGTCGACGAAGGTTCCGGCGCACTTGCACAAGTCGCGATGGTAGCTATGACTTCCCTCTTCATGCTCCGCGACTCCCAAATGTCCCCCCGTGATCATAGTAGGACCTCCCTCTCGACGAAAAGCCAACATGGCTCCTGCGGCCGTACGACTCCAAACAGACCACGATGTTTACATGTACATGTAGCTTTCCACAAACCCAGCTCCATCCATCACAACCCAAAATCTCCAAGCAGCCTACATAGCAAATCCACCATGATGTCCTCCACCACCTCCTCAGAATTCCACATCCCAGCAACCCTCTCTCCACCCAAAACCAGAAAAAACTCCACCGAGCAAGCAAACAAACCCCCCAAACTAAAATCAACCCTCCTACTAACATTCCCCATTCAATTGTCCCTACTAGTTTAAACAACTACTCTAACAAATAATAAAAAACAAAACAAAAAAGTCTATACCCTAGAACCCCACTCACAGGCAGACCCGAAAGAAGTTTACAGACTCGAAACGGACTGCTATAAAGTCTTATATATCTTACTAATTCTACTTCTCTCGGAAATTCTCCGCTAAATCAAAGCCTACTAAAGCGCCTAGTATAGTCTATAATCAATTTAATTAATCTAGGACCCCCTAGATTAAATTAGATTACTAGGTGTTAGGGCTAAAGAGGCTATACGTGATTAGTATGTAACTAGGCTAAGTAAAGCTAGGGTCTCAGTGCCTTAGGTAGGGCTTAGCGCTTAGCAATAGGCTAACTTGCCTGCCTTCCTCCCTCTCCTCCTAGCTCCTTATCGAATACTACTCGTACCTACTACTACCCTATCTACCTGCTAATATACCCTTCTTATATAGTATTCGATCTACCCTTAAAGGGCAGTAGCTAGATAGTCCTTGTTTTAAGCTTTTAGCGGTATAGCTACAAAAACTATCGATTTAACTATATTACGCCCGAAGAACGGGACCTACTCGTACTATTCTACTAAGAACAACCGTACTAATTATTAAGCAAGGCCTTCTATACGGCCTATTATACTAAGTTAAGTATACTAGACCGATATCTACTAATTCCGCTACATCCGTATCTTAGGGGCTAACAATATATTATTAGTACTACCCCTTATTATAATAGCCGGCTCGTTACGAAACAACAACCGTGCTGCCGCTAGTAGCGCTAGCAATAACAACGCTAGTAGTATAGTGCCTAAAGTGCCTACTAAAGCACCTACTAAAGTGCCTCCTACCGAAGAGCCTACTACTAAGTCTGCTAAAGAAGAACCTACAATTCTAGGTAATAATCTAGAATTGCTTATTAACGACATTCTTAACAACATTGTTAATCGACGATATAGCTAGCTAGCCTTTAGCCCCTAACTAGTAGGGAGACTTTAAGAAGCCACTTAAAATAGGCTTACTACCCTACGTTAAGAACAATAGCTAAAGGATAATCTCCTTAAGATTCGCCGCCTATAGGAAGCCCTAACAACTACTGCTAGACTAGAACTAGTAGCAGGACCTTCTATATAAAAGAAGGATGCTAAGCTTAAGGACTGCACTGTGTTTAATAGCTCTAGTCGAAAGTAGTACAACGACTACATTCGTAACTGTAAGCTTAACTAGCGAAACGTACTAAGGGCTCTTCTAGACGACTATTTACTAGTTGTCTACGCTATGCAGTATATAAATAGCGACCTAAAACGCACCTAGGATAACTATTTTAACTCCCTCGATAATTAGACCGCTATCTAGTAGCAGACCTATAAAACCATTATATTAGACACCCTTAGAAACCCTATACTAAGATAACAATACGCTTAGGACTAATACCTCCGAGCTAAACAAAAGACTAATTAATCGGCTCGCTTATTTAAGGCCTATTTAAAGACCCTCGAGGACGATTTGCTAGCTAAGACCGACTCTATCTAGATTTCCGAAATACGTCCTAAATTGCGATAGGAATTGGTCCTTAAATTAGACCGCCGTCGTGTGTTCGAATAGACTAATCTAATACGCATTCAATTTATAGTCGAAGTAGAAACAGCTAAACGAGCTATCTAGCTTTAATAACGACTAGAATCGAGGATCCGGCTAGCTAGTACTAATCGCGGCAATCGTAGTAGCCGCGGAGGAAACTAAGGTTCCTACTATAACAACAATGCTAACAATAGGAACAGTAACGACCGTAGAAGAGGTCGTAGCCGACGGCTATATAGAGGAGGCCGCGACAGGGGTCGTAGAAGGGGCTCGTATCCCTATAATGCTAACCGCTCGGCTAATAATAGTAATAACAGCTACGGCAACCTACTAACCGGATTGAAGTGCTTTAACTGTAATAGCACTAGCTATCTCCTAGGCTAATGTAACAAACCTAAGGACTAGGCCCGAATTAACCGTACTTCCGCTAAGCATAGGAAGCACCTTTTAGCCGCTAATGCTACCCCTATCGGCTCTTTTAACTAGTCGAAAAAAGAATAAGCGCCGCACTAACTGTTAGCCTTATACGGCGTAAAACTATCGATATTGTGCTAGCTATTATACGTACCTGTCTTATATAGGATACGCATAGAACTACCTATTAAACTAAGGTTATACTAGATCTAGGAAATTCGGTTAGCGCCCTTATTAATTACCGCCTAGCTAAGCAATTAGACCTCCGACAATTGCCTAGAACCGATATGCCAACCCTTGCTTAGTTTAATAACGCTCGGCACTTAACCTATAGAGCCTACTATATTCCTATAGTTCTAAAGGACGACCTCGGCAATAAGCGTTTATTAGACTTTACTACCTATATAGTAGATATAGACAACCTCCTATCCGATATTGTTATTAGCAACCCTGTTCTTAAGTACTATGCTATAGTTATAGACTTAGGCAGTTAATAGTAGCGATTTAGGATCGCTAGGAGAGAGGATATTAAACATATTAACATTAGCGAGTGCCCTAACAATATTAAGGTTCTGTTTATTAGTACCCTAATACTAGCCTCCGCCTTAGCTAATCCGACTACCGACCTGCTCGGTAGTAATAACGATAAACCTATGCCCCCTAATAGCATAGACCCTAAACAGCTTACTCGCATACCTTAGCCTATTCGAGAAACCTATATTAATATATTCAAACACTACCTAGTATCGACATTGCCTATATTTAAAGAGACTAATTATAAGATTAATATTATAGAGGGCAAGGAGGTCCCCTTTAGGCCCCTCTATAACCTTAGTAAACGAGAACTTGCTGTATTGCGTAAGTACCTAGATAAGAACCTAGCTAATAGTCGGATTTAGTATAGCAACAGCCCTGCTAGTATACCTATCCTATTCGTACCGAAGAAGGATAGTAGCCTACGCCTATATGTCGACTATCGTAGGCTTAACGCTATTACTATTAAAGACCGCTGTCTACTTCCGCTTATTAATAAGACCCTCGACCGCCTTTCTAGGGCCTACTTCTATACTATACTAGACATTAAGGATGCGTACTATCGTATCCTTATTCGCAAGGGCGACGAATAGAAGACGGCCTTCCGCACTCGCTATAGCTATTTCGAGTACTTAGTTATACTATTCGGCTTAGCTAATGCCCCTGCAACATTCTAGTCCTATATTAATCGGGCCCTTTCGGGCCTATTAGACTATCTCTGTATAGTTTACCTAGATAATATCCTAGTTTATATACATTTACCTAATATTGCAGAACACTAGGCCGTAGTACGTAAGGTCCTCGACCGCCTATAAGCCTATAGACTGTATTACAAACCTTCTAAATATACCTTTGCTACTAAAGAGGTGTTATTCCTTAGCTTCCTTATTTTAACCGAGGGTATTAAGGCTAATCCTAATCGGATTAAAACAATTACTAAATAGCCTATTCCTACGTCTATTAAGGAGCTTTAATCGTTCCTCGGCTTCGCTAATTTCTACCGCCGTTTTATTAAGGGCTATTCGAGGTATATAATACTATTAACTAAGCTTACTAAGACTAAGGCAAACCCTTCTAGAGAGTTTAGGTAGACTAATAAAACACAAGCCGCTTTTAACGGTCTAAAGAAGCGATTTACTAAAGTCCCCTTATTGTACTATTTCGTACTAAGCAAGCAGATCCGAATTGAGACTAACGCTTTACAGTTCGCTATATCGGCTATTATGTCACAGCAATCAGATAATAACTATTACTAGCACCCGATTGCCTTCTTTTTACGAAAGATAATCGATATAGAACGTCGATATAAGACCTACGAGTAAGAGCTCTTAGCAATCGTAGAAGCCTTTAAGTATTAGCGCTACTATCTCGATAGTACTTAGTACACAATTCAGGTCTATACGGACTATAACAACCTCCGTAGAATTACGAAGGTTACTAGGGTTATAGGTCGATAGGCTAGATAGGCCGTCTACCTCGCTAGGTTCGATTTTAATATATTATATCGGCTAGGCGTAAGCAACCCTACTAATAGCCTATCGAGGCGACCTAATTACGACAGCGAGACTTAGTACATTAATTCATTGTTTCTAACCCTATAGTATAAGATTGCTATAGCCCGTATTGTTAATAAGTAAGCGTAGGATAAGCGGACTTCCGGACCCCGCGGCGGTAACAAATACTATAGCGGAGTTATCGTTCTTCTAGTGCGCGTTAGAAAGGACGTAGATCGCTCGAGCTATAATAACTCGATTGAAGATATTGCTATCTATAGCGATAGCACTATAGAAGAGGTTGCAGTAGTTCCGGCTACTAGTACTATTAGATATATATAATACGTACCTCGTTCGATAGCGAGGGTGCTATTAAATAACCTTATAAATAGGGATAGTTAATCGTTTATAGATAAGCTATTACGTGCTTAGCAGAGGGACGCCTTTACTATCGAGCGCATTAATAGGCTTGTAAGTAGGCGAACGACTCGATCTAGTAAGAGTAATTAGTCGATCGACGACAAAGGTTACTTAAAGTTTAAG